CGAAATCTGCAGAAAATTAATTATAGAATTGTCTTTATTTACACTGGCAACATTGTCATTTGGGTCCCAGGGCACAGGACATCCGGTACAAAAAATCACACCTAGAGTGTAGCCTCAATAATTAAAAGAATGGGTATTTTAGTTGATTGTTACAAGCCATAAACTATGACCTCTTCAGATACAATACATTCGGGACAAACATCTTGGGTATCAATATACAATTTTAAGCAGCTTGTTGCTCCGATGGGTTTTTAAGAGTATAACCAAAGGGTCTCACATAACATGCGAATTCGCTGCACTTGGGTATTAAATATTTAATGACTTGCACACCAAGCGAATTTGCATCCAACATTCAATTTGGGAAAGTTGACAGAATTCTACAAGGACAATATGCAAAACGGAAAAAATGCGTAGAAAAAATATAAAACAATTTGATAACAAGTAAAATGCATCAAAACTCAAGGAACATGGCCAGCTATAGACTGAATTTCGCTTTCCTTTTTATACCCTATACACATAAAATGGAATACATTGAGTAGATTAAAATTCAGGCTCAATTTTATTTAATGACACTCTTACAGTACTCCTCCTGTCTAGTTTGCATACAACCTATGCAGAGTCTATATGCTTGTATCAAGTTAGATTGCATATTTAATGTGCATTTTTAGCAACTGTTTTAGTCGGGACTATTGCAAAGCGCAGGAATGGAATGTACCAAAAAGGAAACCTATTTGCTAAGTTTGATGTGATATAATATAGAGAGACAGGAATGCTTCGTTACTTTTCGGTATTTGCCGAAAATGAAGCAGATATTGATAATTTTTATAAACTTCTTCTGCGTATCATTCTACATAGATTATAATTTTCATTATATGGGTTTTGCTGTTTCGGCGAACGACTCGTTAAACACTTGGAGAATTTGCATAGTCGAAGTCAACATACGGTTTCTAATTTTCAATGGATGTAAATATGTGACACCTCTATAAGGAGAATATCCTGGTTGAGCAAACTCTATCGACGCTTAGTTATTCTTGGCTCTGTGCAGCTGAGTTAGGGCCAGACTTGCGACTAGAGCCGGAGTATAGACGACAGAAAAACCAAAACTGTTGCAAAAACATGTCACATTAAGTGCACAGACAGCAGCAGGAAGTCTATGGGACTTGAGTGCTTTTACTGCTGCCGGAATTCTGCGGGCGTTCGCTTTGAAGTTGAAGCTCGCATTTGGCTTCCTCTATTTTTTCGTTGTTCCGTTTGCGGGAGGGGTTGCACTTGTTTATGTTTATGCGATTGCACTTAAATGTAATGGTAATGTTTCAGATGGCTTCGCATTTCGCGCTAGTTAAATGCAAGCACTGCAGCATTTGCATTCAACAATTCAATGAAACCGATGCTACGTAGAAATTGGCTTGGCTTTGGCGTCTTCAAAAGCATTTTTCTCTACATAAAGCATTTGCCTCAGTGTTCAGTTGTCTCAACCTTCCGTCCACATTTTTGAAGAGTTAACCCAATTAAGTATCTTTATACTGCCAACAATCGAATATATGCATTAAGGTTTAACTCACAGCTGAATCACAGCCAGAAATGCTAATTAACGGCAAGCTTTTGCTATTTTCAAGAGTTTTCTTTTTATTTATTTATTCATGTTATTTTATTTAAATAGAGCCAAGATAGACAGGCAGACACAGCTGAAACGCTTCACTGGTTTTCAATGGCGGAACGCTGAGAATTCAGACTCCGTCCGCTAGGACGGATGTCGACATCTAAGCTGAAGATTTCACTCAATGTTGGTACTTGACAGAACATTAATTATGATACTTTATTAACGTTATTAGCCTTGTCGGCATTCATAAAATTCAAATATCTTCACTGGCCTTAATTATGACTCTATCAATCTCAAATGCACTTACAATGTGTCACACATAAAGTATATGTATATATTCTTGATCAGTATCAACAGCCGAGTCAATATAACCATGTCCGTTTGTCAGTCTATTAAGTTATTGATTGAACAATTTGTTTTGTTTATCAAGAAATATTGACCAAACTCGGCATTTAGGGAATTCACTATGCTCCCCTCGAAAATGAGTTTAAAACCGATGTGTTGGTAAGCAGAACATTTTGATTGGATACATTTTTACATCGAAATGTATATTTTATTTATACCTCTCTTGGAGTTAAAAATTGTTCTGATCTCGAATTAATTCTAGTTAAAATTGTTCTAAATACGCGCAATTTGATACCGTTCACAAAATCGTCTTATTTGGGTTCAAAACTTAAATCATCTGCAAACTCATGTATCCAACCCCACTCCACGAGCACCGCATACAATATAAATATCAAATACAATGTAAATGCAAAAACTGCCGCCGAACGTCGAGCAAAGAAATTAAAAGTTATAGTCCACATCAGAGTTGTAAAAATAGTTAGCAAAAAGAAATAATAACAGTTCGCACCATGCTCCCCAAAGAGCCAATGTGCAGTGCCGTGATGCCGCGCATGTTGGAAAAACATGGGAACGCCCATGCAGATCGTAATGCCTGAAATTGTAATCTTTTCTATTAACAATTGATATTCGTTAAAGGGATAACTTACAGAAAAATGGTCCAGCCAAGGTCGCAGCAAATGCCATTCGGTCATAGCCCTGCATGGCGAGCTCCAGATTCATAATCATATCAGTAACTGCCGCTGAAAATGATCGAATGCTACTGGCAACAAAACTTTCCGACATATGAAAGACAACTCCAATAATACAACAGAGTACTTCCAGCTCGGTGGCACAAATTGCTATCATAAGCATCGAGCTGCTAGCGGTAAGTATAACAAAAAGCTGCAAATATTGCCAGAGTTGAAATCAAATGAATTTGATCGTATATCAGATGTTAAGGGACTTACTATATGATATGGTGGCGGCATATCCGTGCGTGTATGAATAAAGGCGACAACGGCAAGTGGCACAGTCACACACAATGACCATGACGCATAATTGTAGTCTATAGACAAATGCCAGTGGTCGTACTCATTGGTAATCATTGCTGAAGTAGTATAGTAGGAGGCTTGGAGTTTCGTCTAGAGCAATAAAGCAAGTTAACAAACCTTGTGTCAGGATAATAAACATAAATGGATTGGTAATAATTTGTGTACAATTAAGCAGCTTGCTCCATCCATGCTTCTTTCGCGAGTAGTCGACAACAGGTATAAAAATGCAACAAGGCAGAGCAATAGGTGAGAGTAGTATATCAACACTACGCCTCAACCAGCCTCTTTCATTCCATTTGTCTAAATCCACGGGTACCAGATCTTTGAAAAATTCGATGAACAAAGATTTATTCTTACGGTTACGTGGATGATACATAGAATTTCGCGTTTGTAATAGATTAACTGCTGGTGGCAGTTCACTATTTTTCCTTGTTGAGAACCCATTTAGAGATCGTGTTCGACTAAAACTGTGAGAGGAAGGCATTAGGTTTGCTTCATTATGTCGGTGGCGTACAATCAATATTTGGTCTAGCTCCAGCTCGCGCAATTTGGTAATTTTTGTTCTCAGTAACGTATCTCGTTCTACTGAAACAGATTCGTTCAATAGTAAATCGATCTCGTTGTGAAGTTCTGAAGAGTAATGATATATTTTTGGAATTGGTATACCTTATACTTGTAGTATGCGTTCGTCACTTACTTATTATAGTTCGACCTACCAACTTTCTATCCATAAGAACGACAATCAAGTTCACAATATATAACGATATAAGCGCTATAGGGCAAGACGAAAATAATGAAATGGAAAGAACTGTTGTTATATATAACTTACCGATTCCCTCGCCTGCTGTCGAACTGGGATCGTGTAACATAACAAAGATGAGCAACTCGCAAGCAAGTAGTACGAATAGTAGATCGCGTAGGGCACAGTGCCCATTTATTTTAAAGGATCTCGTGTAGCACACCATTCCGCCACTTATTAGAATAAGAGCTAAAGAATTGCTTATAGTTATGGTGAAAAGGGGTGCGTGCTTTCGAACTGGCATTAAATTGGCCATAAGATCTGGCGAAGTATTGCCAAAGGCCAGTAATGTTACTCCTGCCAGGTACTCATTCATGTTCAGCTTGACTGCAATAATTTTCAATGTTGGAGCAAAGCTGAAGTGGGATTTAAGAAGTTAGTTAGATGCGTGTCTTTTGCTTGATAAATCGACTTACTATTTATCCACCAAATATGCTGTAGTTATCATTAGTATGATCGCAATTAAGACGAACGTGATTATAACAGCCAACTCGGTAACCTGATTTTGAATTTCAATACCACAGTACAAAATTTCGTAATACTTAAAAAAATTCATAATGTGGCCGCAATGCTTCACAGACATAGCTAAGCTACAACGGTCTTTGAAGTCCGCCCCCATCACACTGAAGCAGCTCATCTGTTAAAATGGATACGTTAGTCTCCGGGCCAAACGGACTATCTAAGAACTCACCTTGCGATACACTTCTTGTAATGAAAATGTTTCATTCATTTTGAGAAGAGTTTTTTCTGTTTGCCTAAGGTATTTCTGGGTAATTGATTTAATTTTGAGCGCAATGCTTACTATGATTCAAATTTAAAAATTCTAATCTATAAATCTTTCAGATGAGCAATGAGGGTTGCTTGATTTTGTACTTGATTTTTTTTTTTACCAAATGTACAATATAAATTAGGTAATATTGACAATGGTTTTTAGTCAATAACAACCAACGACATATTGACGACAGACTCCTTGGCGAAAGCCAATTGATAATAGGAATCCGTATGAATTCAAAAGAGGTATCAGACGATATTTAACATTATACCAAAATAATTGCGGTAATAAAAAAAATTAAGCTGCATTAACATTCAATTAGTTACTCTGTAAATAATTTGGCATGTACTCGGAAACCACCAGAATTCACAGGAAGGAAGCTAATGGTAGATTGGTGAGAGGTTCAGGGATTCTCCTACTCGGGCAGTCCCGACAAGGCCATTCGAACTGATTCATCTCAGACTTATATTTATGTTTATATATTTAAGCATATTATGTAATACACGTTTTTAAAGTATATTGTTTGAGATGGTATTATAATTTTGTCATGCAATGTGTTACGAGCAGCGCCTTTCACTTTCAAAGCTATCGTCTTGAAACTTTCCATCCATCCGTTGCAGCTGTTGCAGGCAGTGCGATTTCGGAGCCCCCCGGGTCGGACCATTATGTCATTGACAGCGTGCGTGAGTATTCGAGTTTTCAGTACAGGGTATATATCTCCTAGTCGGGCGATCGCAACTAAGGCATTGCTTCTTGTTTAGACTGTGCATATTTATTTATTGGGGTTCGAAAATCCTATCATATGATAAGTCATGGACAAAGTCCCACTCAGCAAGCGCGGCATATAAAATAAACAGAATAAACATTATGAATGAAAAGATGCCCGCAGAACGTCTAGCGGAGAAATTAAATGTCAATGTCCATAACATTGTTGTGAAAATCATAAGCATAAAGAAAATGTAAGAATTTGTACCATGCCGTCCATAAATCCAGTACGACGAGCCCTTGAGCTGGGCAAATTTATTGAAATAGCATGGAATACCAATGCAGACCGTTATGCCTGCAAAAATCTGGTGTCTATAAGCAAACACTTGTTTTATATTAGCTAGTGACCACTTACTGAAGAGTGGTCCGGCCAGCACAGCAGCAAACGCCATTCTTTCATAGCCCTGAATGGCCACTTCCGCGTTCATAATTAAATCAGCAATAGCCGCGGCAGAGGATCGCACGCTGCTAGCAACGAAATTCTCGGTCAAATTTAAGACCAATCCAATAATACAGCAAAGTACCTCAAGCTCGATGGCACACGTTGTTACAATGAGCAGAGAGGTCACGGCAGTAAGTGTGAGAAAGAGCTGCGCCGATTGTTGCAGTTGAGATGGAGGAGTTTTATTTGACGAAGTCCGGTTCACGACTCACCAGATGATACCGTGGTGGCTGATCCGTGCGTGTCTGGAACAACATGATGATGGCCACTGGTACAGTAAGAAACATGGACCACGATGCATTCTTAATGCATAATGTCACATGCCAATCTCGCATGTTCATGGTAAACAATGCTAAAAGGTTACCAGGTCATTTTATTTACAGCACACTAGCTTTAAGTATTTTCATAACGAACCTTTCTTATTATTTACATTTTGAAAAACAAAATTATATTTCTCTTAATGCTTGACCTATGCAAAAGCGAATGAAAGAAAAATTGTAAAAGATCTGATGCTTATAATTTGCCGAAAAAAACATTTCCTCTATGCAATTTTGCATTTATTCTTGGATTATTTATGAAACTGACTTTGAGATACACTGAAAAAAATAATACAAAATAAAAGTTTGCAAGCCGTAGAAAGTCATCTATGATCTGACACAAGCTCCTTACTTCTGTCTTAACTCAATTTGCATGTGTTCAGTGTTTAATTCAAAAGCAAGTCGATTACTGTACTTATTATAATAACTTATTTGATGTTTAAGAAAATTGTATACTACTTTAGAAAATATACAACATGCCAAATTTAGCGACTCCAACCATTAAAACCTACGAAATTTGCACAAAAAAGAGGCTTTCGATATCGATTGTTTTTTTCTAAGCGGAGAACCTATGTTATCTAGGTCTTATAGGATCTAAGATTGCTTCTGCATAAGTCAAGCTATTTGACATAATTTCGCAAACAAAAATGTTCATCGAGTAAATACTTGTGACCGTATGCGATATATAAGTACAAACCTTCTGTCAAGGTGATCAGCAGAATGGGAGTAATAATAATTTGGATGCAATTTAGAAGCTTACTCCAACCATGCTTGGGCTGTTGGTAGTCAATGATAGGTATGAAAATGGTGCAAAATAGTACAATGGGTGATGTGAGAATGAGATAGAGGCGTTTGCACCAGCCGGCGATCTTCCAATCCTGCAAATCGATCGGTACTAGCGTTTCCCAAAACTCAGTGCATAAGAATAGATTTCTTGGATTACTTGGATTATGTAAAATGTTTCGAGTTTCCTCAATGTTAAGCACATGAGTTGATGGCTTAATTCTTGATGTACTATACATTTCCTTGCTTTGATCTTTCATCTTGAAATTCGACGCAGCTCTGCGCTGCATGTTGTATAATTCGGCAGTTACCGTTTGGCTGTGTATAAGCAATATATTGTCCTTTTCCAGTTTGAGCAACTGAAGTTGCTTCTCGTGTATTAGTCGAGTTCGATAAGGTGTCGATGTATTTTTTTGAAGCTCATTAATCTGTTTCTTGAGCGCTAAGGAATTATGTTACATTTTAGCAAGTGTATGGCTCTTTGCGCTCGACACTTACATTTGATGGTTAGACGTGTCAGCTTTAGATCCACAATAATAACAACAAAGTAAAAGATATACAATAAAATAAGCACTAAAAAATAATCCCAAACAATTATCTGTTGTGTAATGTGACCATTGGTTCGCTTACCTATGGCCTCTATTTGAGTTGTCCGTTTGCCTGTGATAACTATATAGGTCAGGACCTCGCAGGCTAACATCAGAAATAGAAGATCACGCATGGCAAAATGCCCATTTATTTTGAAAGGTCTAAGGAAACACACCATGCCCCCACTGAGCAGAATAACAGCTAGAGCATTGCTTATAGATATTGTAAATAATGGTGCCTCTTCACGAACCGGCATTAAATTGACCGCCAGATCCGGAATGGCATTGCCGAAGGACAATAGAGTAGCGCCTGCTACATATTCATTCATATGAAGCTTGACCGACATAATTTTCAGCACGGCTCCAAAACTGAGGTGCAATCGGCATTAAGTTTAGTTTAGATGCATGTCAGCGGAACTTACTATTTACTCAATATATGCACGAGTGTCAACATCAGAACAATTGCAATCATTATGAATATGCACACAATACCTATTTCTTTAGTTTTGGTTTGAACATTCATATTGCAATACATCAACCGGAAATAATCGAAAAAGTGAGTAATATGTTTGCAGTTAATAATTTTCTTAGATAAACGACAACGTTGCTTAAAGTCCACCTGCATCAAACTGTAGCAGCTCATCTTTATTTAGCCGCTAATTAGTGAGTTTCCGTCCCAATTTGCATTAGGTACTTACCTCGCCGTACACACGATCTAAGGAAAACGTATTGTTCATCGCGTGAATCGCATATACCGTACAAATCAAGAAATTACTTGTGTGCTTGAAATATTACAAATTTTGTAAGCTGTCAGCGGATTTTTTTTGAAATCAAGGCCGACTAGGTTGTAAATCCTTCAATTCGCTCTTAGCTCTTGAAAGTGCCGATATTTTCTCATCCGTCTCTAGTATAGCAAAGACATTTGGATCTTCATTTTATTCTCTCCTTCCTAATTTCACGTGCCGAAAAGATCAATTCTCAAATTTCAGACCTTCTAGGTGGAAAATGGTAATCGAAGGTCTTAGGGTTAATGTTCTAAGTTTCATTTTATCGACTTCAAACGTAGTTGCTCGTAGTTCTTGTATATAAATGTTTGGTATGAAAATGGATATTAAATGTTTGCACTTTCTGGCTGGCCAATCATTTCAAAGGTAAGGCTGAGTAATGCCCGCTAATAGGTAACATAATTTTGATCCTCGTTGTATTCGCTTCTCAACATCTTTTGGTTATTCTCTGTGTTGTTGCAGTTGGATTTCACAAAGAAATCTCATATCATGGGATTCAAAGATACTAGTTGCTTCTTGAAGTGATAAGGAATTCACAACCACTTTGCTATCAATCTAATCTTATATACCTATGAACCGAGACAAAAGTTATCCCAATACAAGTTGTATACACAAAATATATATACATACACTAAGTCGATAAGGCGACAGACGGCTGCCAACGTAAATCAATGCAAGCCTAGCAAATGTACTTCCCACAAGAGAGTCATTACCATAAATAATATTCGTTATAAATTATTGAGAGCAGTTTTAAGATGACTAGTTCGTTTTGAAGAGCTCGATAAGCCAAACTTGGTAGCAGAAAATCTCATATAAAAGCACAGCTGCAGAAATCAATTATCAAATTGAAAAGAGCTACAATGGTATCTAAAGCAGTTGCCGCTCTAGTTTTTGCCGTTCTGGTTTGCAGCCAGCACGCAGTCCAAGGGGTCAATGTGGTTTCCAAGGCGGAGTGGGGTGGTCGTGCTCCAAACTACCGTGTTGCCCTGGGCAACTACCTGAACTATGCCATTATTCACCACACGGCCGGCAACTATTGCGAGACGCGTGCCGCTTGCGCACAACAGCTACGCAACATCCAGAGCTACCACATGGACAGCCTGGGCTGGCCCGATATTGGCTATAACTTCCTGATCGGCGGTGATGGCGCTGTGTACGAGGGTCGTGGCTGGAATTCGATGGGCGCCCATGCTGCCGAATGGAATTCGGTGAGCATTGGCATTTCGTTCTTGGGCAACTTCAATTGGGACACATTGGAGCCGAATATGATCGCATCTGCCCAGGGCCTGCTCAATGATGCCGTCAATCGTGGCCAGTTAAGCTCGGGCTATGTCTTATACGGCCATCGTCAAGTAAGTGCCACGGAATGCCCTGGCACTCACATCTGGAACGAGATCCGTGGATGGTCTCACTGGAAAGCTTGATTTCGACCGAAATATCAATAAATGATCAATTAAATATCGTTCAAATTGATTTTATTTCTTATCTCAACAAACAGACAATCTGTTCTTGTCAGCCATAGCTGTTTATGTACTCAGGCCACGCTCTGAACTGAAACAAGAAGACTTGCTGTCTTAATTGGTTGATAGGATTGGCCTCCCATATTTTAAACCATTTTTAAAGGCTATCAAGGCTTAAGCCGATATCAACAAAATATTAAATGGCGAACCATCGCATCCATACGATTAAGTACCTAAATATTTCTTATCATTTGATCCGTCAGCAGGTAAAATATTGTACATAAAAGAATTATAGTATATTAACACATCCTAAATTTTTTTATGATTCTGGCCCAAATGAAAATTAAAAGTTTTAATTATTAAACGTAAGAAGTGTCTTTCAGCCTTTTTCAATATCCTACGCATATAGCTGGCGCAGATCTGTAGCCTTATTGATAACCACGTCCAAGCAAAGTTTGCTCAGCCCGATATGAAATCTCCCGTCGTCGGGTCAGGAATTTCCCATCACCACTTCTAGATATTCTTGCCTCTTTATCACTCTCTATATAATCTGTAGTAATATTATCTTCCATTGCTTCGCTTACTCTAGTTATATTATTTCCTTGTTATTTTGTTTAAACATTTTTCTCTTTCCCCGCATTTATCCAGTATTTTACTAACATTGTTATATGTTCATTAGATATGTTAATATATTACCATAACCTCATTGACCTTCTTTTGGCTATATTCTTTACTAACGTCATTGACAAAAGACCAGTCAAAAAATTCCAAGCTATTCATTCTAAGAGAAAGAAGATCCTCTCTCAGAGTACAGAGTTAAAAGGTGTAAGGCAGACATAAGCTTAACAGCTTAACTTACAAGAATTGTTTATTTTTAAAAATCGATGAGTATTTTTAACAAATTAATTAAATGCCACTTGCCAATTGATTAAAAACTCATTCGACCAACGCTGGGAATGGCACACGAGTATCAGAATTGTCTTAGATAGTCTTCGTATCAGATCGAAATTCCCCCAACCCTCTTATAAATATATTTGTGCGCAACAAGTGTCGTGAGTTTCGCGCTTCATTCGGCAGAGATAAGGCACTGCCCCGGGCTATATAAGCAGCGCCGCATCAGTCGGCCATTACACAAGTCTAAAAACCAATTCAGAGTCATGGCAAGTAAAGCTCTAATCGTTCTGGCCGTGCTCCTATGCGCACAGGCCGTCTTTGGTGTAACCATCATTACCAAGTCGCAGTGGGGCGGTCGCTCGGCCACTAGCAAGTCCACGCTGGCCAGCTCCCTGAGCTATGCTGTAATCCATCATACCGCTGGTAACTACTGCACCACACGAAGCGCTTGCGAGACGCAGTTGCGCAACATCCAGAGCTACCATATGGACAGCTTGGGCTGGGCTGATATTGGCTACAACTTCCTGATCGGTGGTGATGGCAACGTATACGAGGGTCGCGGCTGGAACGTTATGGGAGCTCATGCTACCAACTGGAACTCCAAGTCCATTGGCATCTCCTTCCTGGGCAACTACAACAGCGACAAAATAACTTCCGCTCAGATCACAGCTGCCAAGGGTTTGCTGTCTGATGCTGTTGCCCGTGGCCAAATCATTTCCGGCTACACTCTGTACGGCCATCGTCAGGTGGGCTCCACTGAATGCCCTGGCACCAATATCTGGAACGAGATCCGCACCTGGTCCAACTGGAAGGCTTAAGTGCTTAATATAATCTAGGCTCTTCAGGCTTCAAAAATATATATAAACTGCTGCAAAATAAAAACTTTTTATAATACAATACACTGTCATAATTATATACATATGTTAATAGCATTCATCGGGTGTTTTTCTGAGGGCCTTCCCCACAAAACAGAGCTTATTTACACTTTTGTTCAGTTCTTATACTTTGTACTCATTAAAAATGATTAATAAGGCTATAACAGTTTTGTGCCAACCTTATTTAGTTTACATATTCCTGATCAGTTTGTCTGTATGAAAGGGAGTGTGGGAATCTAGAGCGAGAGAGTATAAATTGAAATAGATATTCCCATATATCCAAACCAACATATGAGGCGTTTATTGTATTTTTATGAATTTTCATTTTGCAGCATTTGTAAATTTATTAAATTGGAATCCATTTCAGGGATTTATTATGCCCTCCAGTTGGACCAGGTGCGGATCTCGTTCCACAGGGTTGTGCCGGGGCATTCAGTGGCGCTCACCTGACGATGGCCATAGAGAATGTAGCCGGACACGATTTGGCCACGGGATACAGCATCAGCCAAAATACCCTTGGCAGCATTGATCATTGCCGAGGTGGCAGTGTTGTGGTTATAGTTGCCCAGGAAGGAGATGCCAATGGACTTGGAGTTCCAGTTGGTTGCATGTGCACCGACAACGTTCCAGCCACGGCCCTCATATACGGCGCCATCGCCACCGATCAGGAAGTTATAGCCAATATCGGGCCAGCCCAGACTGTCCATATGGTCGCTCTGGATGTTGCGCAGCTCCTGTGCACAGGCAGCCCTGGTGCTGCAGTAATTTCCTGCGGTGTGATGAATAACGGCGTAGCTTAAGTTGTTGCCCAAAGTGGTCTTGCTCCTGGGCGCGCGGCCGCCCCATGCCGATTTGGAGACGACAGCAACTCCAAAGACGGCCTGGGCGCAAAGGAGCACAGCCAGAAGGATAATAGCCTTGTTAGCCATAGTTGAATATCGGATGTGACTCGTCTATGCCAATTGCTAAAATGCTGGTGCTTATATACCCCAGCGGCATAAGGAGTTTTGCGATTTGCACTATGGTCTGATAAAAGACTATCAACATATGGTCCTGATACTAGTATCAAATCCATGATATTTTTAGCGCTGTTTAGAAAAATAAGGAGCATGCAACCAATAAATTTACAATGAAGATTGCGATTTTGTTAATTTATGACTGCTGGTAAGTGCAAACATTCGAAAAAACTTTCCGTCGCATTGCAGGGGCATCTTAGGTATATATTGTTGCAGTCCGCAATCTGTCCCTTGGTAATGCGGACTTCTGATTTGGAAAAATACCTAGGAGTGAACAAAGTCGAGGACATTATAAATAAACAGGCTGAACTATATTGCGCGGCTGAGAACCAATCCAAATCGTCTGGGCGCCTTCTAAAGAGGCGTAGAATTAGAGGAGTTCGAACGCGGAGCATTGTGGAATTCTTATCCAAGATCGGTTTATATAACCACCCTATTCTTGTACATTTTTATTTTAGACTTAACAATAGATTAAGAAGTTTAAAAAAATGTCTCGAAAAAAAATCTTCTTCGTCTCAGCCTCCAATGGCACATAGGCAAGACGGATAGCAGGCCTTAAAATGGTTCGCAGATTGGGCAATAAGCAACTAGTTACAACGAACAGTTGTTTACCAACTTGCTACAACCTTCGACCTTAATTTTCGGAAAGGAATCGTTTTTCACCAGCTTAGCATGCTTTTCTAAGCTAGTTAGGCACTAAGACAAGGTTCTATACATAGTATATTTGAGGGTTGATCATAATATATATTAATAAGATCTTGCTAAAATGTAATGAGTATGGCAGAACTAGTAAATGCCAAGCTTGGAAAGCAAACTATGAAAAGTGATAAAGCGAAACAGAAGGACAGACAGACATTGTTGTATCGTCCTAGTATAGGGTCAGAGGTGTATCTCTCTTTGCGTTACACATTTGATGATAGCCTTACAGTACATTCTACTAAGTCATAAAGGCATGTATTTGTCAAATAATTCATCCCGATGTAAATATATACTGCTTATATGTCGTCAGGTTCTTGATTTTGAGAGAGCGGCCGCCCTCTGATGATTTTAGAAACGACAGCAACTGCAAAGACGCAAAAGGAGCCAGAAGGACAATAGCCTTGTAAGTCATAATTCTAAATCGAATGTAAAACATCTTAGGTAGCTGATAAAATGCTAAAGCTTATAGGATAAGCTCGACAACGAACCATGGCCAGATGGGTCAGCTATCAAAATATGGTTTCGATACTATTATCAGTCACTGCAGAATTGTGAACGCAATTTACTAAAATAAAGTAAATCCAGTTAAAAATTTACAATGAAGATAGCAATTTGATTAATTTATGGCTCCTGGTTCATACACAAGCTATGTATACAATGAGCTGGCAAATTATCTTGACTCGTTCGAGAAGCATGCCAAAGTCTGAATCAAATTATTTTCATTAGTATTGTTGAATACGTATTGTAAAACTGATACAACTTTTATAGGTGTGTTTTCTTGCAAATAAACAATCTACAAATACCAACACAACAACTTTTTATACGAATTTGGGATTGGAAATCATCTCACTTTTTGTAGGGGTACTGTATTGATAAACAGAGGAGTTGTTATTCATATATGCATAGTTCATAATTCATAGGGAAGCTTTGCAAAATATAAAAACATTTTAAGCCTGGCTAAATTCAATTCAATTCAATTTACTTAACACAATCAAACATCTTTGTATTGTCGATGCCGTGTTGAACCTTGCATAAGAAATTTATAATCTTGTTCAAAGTTAACTCATATTGATTTCTTCACAGCCCTTCTACTCTTTTATAGGGTATGAAAATACAAAATCGTACGATGGGTAATTATAATTTCCAACCCAATACGAGACACGTGATGTTTTGATTTACTTCAGACTTCAGAATTCTTATCAAATTATAAAGTGCTTTTATAAATCACTAATAAGTCCAATCGATTAAAATACTTTGCTTGTGATGTAGATGTCAGACTCAAAATAAATTATAATGGCACGCGAACGTGTGGTCAGATTTTTAACACTACCCAATTAGTTTTTGAATCATTCCCTTATTTTCTTCATCTTTTTTTTCAATAATATCGCAAAAGAATAGAAAATATCAGGGAGAAAAATGATTAGCTAGTGGACCTGACAAGAGATGTAATAGTGCTCTGGCCAAGGGTATCTTACTTTGGATGTTCTTTGAATATGTATGTATGAAAGGAAGATAGGCGGGAGTGGGAGTTATGACACAGCATAACACGAACACGAAACTTAACTTTTCGAACACGCACAAAAACTTACGGGAAATTATCTCAAGGCACGACCAACACGGTCGACAACAGGCATACATTATTCATTCCTCTACAAAATTAATTAACAGGAGTGCTTAAATCTGCTTCATTACGTAACTTTTTCTTCACTGAATATCTTTGGCACTTCAATTCGGTATTAAAGCTCTTACATTTGAATTTACTGTCTCAAGCTCTAATAAAAATTATTTTTTTTTAAAAATAATCTATAGTTCTATTTTTTTAAACTAATATTTATTCGAATATCTTTGCATATTTAGTATATAGTATACATATAGATGTTGTACATACATAAATAATATTTTTCGGATGTCTGTGAAGTGTGGTACACGAAATTCATGCACACATTTAAATTAAAAAACTGACATGCCAGTAAATATGCATAAAGTCTTACAAGTTAGCTTAAAACATAAGAAGAACATGCTTTCGCATAAATATACTTCCCTTTAGATTCTTATAACATCCGTTCGACTCTCTTTTTGGTAACAACTACTTGCGCTTAACTAGGTAAAATTCACAGGATAACGAAATGAAAACCAAATGCCAAACGAAATTGACGCGGCCAAGTATACAACTTTATGGGGCTTTAGACGAGCATTTTGCCATATATATACGTTAATTTTTAGAGCAAAATTCAGAGAATATTTATATTTGGTTAGGTTTGATGCCTTTTACGATTAATAACAATACGCGACTGCTAGCGGAATAAATATGACAGAATTCTTTTCATTCTGTTTCACAAACATTTTTCAATACGATAATACATACAATATTAATATACGACGAAGTACACATTTTTGTGCAAACTAAACTGCATTGACAGAAATAATGTAATCGTATGTGGAATATATATGGAATATATGTGGCAACCAAACGAGAAAAGTTGTGCTAATATGGGGGCAAGAGAGGAAGCGTGTGGGCGAATGTTTTGCTCACAACACGATAATTCTGTAAAAACTTTAATGAAATCACAACTTAGGCCTGACTTTCGTTGCGTCCAGGTACCTGACCGGGTATATTAACCTGACGATCATGCGGCGAATGCAGTCCCACTTGCACATGAGGATCAGTAACGTCGTTGTATGACGGTGGCGGCACTACGCCTTCGATTACATCGACGCCACCATCAATAACCTCTAGGTCCTCTTCGTCGTCATCACCGTTAGAATCGTCTGAGACACTGGCGCTACCAGTATTCGCCTGTTCGCTACGTCGCATTGGTGGTGTGTTGGCATTCACATGAACCGTATTGTTGTTGTTGGGCATATCGTTGTTATTGTCCAGGTTGTCATTCGAGTTAGGAGCAGCATTGGCAGCGACCGCATCGAGTGCCACAAACAGTGGCGTGCTGCCACCACCGTCAGCAGCCGGAGCTTCACCCGTGGCACCTTCATCCTCATTTTGATAGTTGGACATAGCCACCTGATAGGATGGTGGTGGTGCCTGTTTCAAGTATTGAGCAATGGCTTCATCATAATTGGGCAGCAGTGTCGAATACGCCCGCTCCTCAGCACCAAAGCCACCGCCGCCCATGCCGCGGACTGCCATTTCGGGCAGGACGCAGGGTAGCAAGCTGCGCAGATGCTGTTGTCGTAGAGTCAAGTACTTGTAGCAGCGCCAGACAATGCCAATGCAATAGGCTTTAAGGAACACGATGCACACAAAAACCACAAGCACAACAACCACCAGCTCTTCGGGAGGCAGTTCCAGCAGCTTCTCGCGCCACGGAAGCCGATGGGACTCGGCAATGATACGATGAATGGCCTGTAGATAGCACAAGTAACCAGCGGCGGTCAAGCTACAAATGCGAAGCATGCAACAAGTTATTAAAAGTTAAACTATATCACATCAAATTTAACATTTACGTTGTGATTGCAAAGTCGAACAGCTGCAAGCAGAAGAAGGGCAACAGATGAGATGGCTTCCCTTTGATTGTTCCATAAATCATCATCAGCGTAATGGCTATCATGCATGTGCACACGAGACCGCCCATGTCAAAGTTCTCTACAAACGGGAGCAGTTAAATTAACAATGATTTCTTAGCGCAGCTCAGACCCGACTGCTTACGGTAACGCTTACGGTAGTTGAGGGAATGATCGCGATAGGCGTAGGGCGGATCCACCTTGCTCAGTGGCGTGGGCAAAGCGGGTGCATTCAGATCGACGGTAAAATCATGATTACCGCTTTCCAATTCATCCATCATTTCCGGATTGCGCCAAATGACAGCCAGGACGCTCAGTGCCAGTATATTCAAGAACTGCGAAAAATAAGAAAAAAAATAATTATCAGTTCCTTCGTCTTAACACGAATAACTCCTTTATCAACTACAGTGTAAACTCTCATAGCCAGACAACTACCGGCGCGGCGTTGTGGGAGCTTTCACTAAGGATTAGTAAAATATGTGCCTGCCATGACCGTCTGTCTTATTTTAAGCCAAATACTCCCTCAGTTTAAAGCTATTTACATGGGTCTATTTTAGGCTATACAGAACTCCTCTATTTGTCAAAAGAGGATTTCATTTGATTCTCTGCAAGAGGGCAAAAATTTTCTTAAAATGGCAAAAATATATTTCCACAGCTGGAAGAAAAAGTCTGTATAATAAAAATCTTTAAATATGAAAGGTCTCCTTCATTTCTTTGGCAGCTGTTTGGCAACAGAGACACACTTCAGAAACGTCCACCGGCTCTAGCGATTGCCAATAATCTCTATGTTGCGTTTGGAGCCAACTGAGATAGCCTATGAAGGCCTCGTATGGGAGTTCATCGGAGATCTGGCAGTGCAGTCGATGGTGGTAGCTGCACTCTCGATCGTAGATCCAATTGCGCTGCTCCGGCGGCTGCATTCCAGTGCGCTCCAAATGCAGCATAAACGCGTCTCGATCGGAACCATAGCAAAGCCGTGTCGTAGTGTAGCCAATGCCATCGTGTAACTGCTGCAGCACCTCTGGTTGCGAGATAATACGCTTTAGTTCAATGGATGTGGAGTGTCGGTCGTGCAGACGAATGAGCAACCAGGGAGGCACTAGGGCAAAGCGCACACATGAAATTAGCTGGGCTATGATGAGCCGCCTTTTAGGCCATTGGAAATTGAGCCAGCGCACGGCGGCCATGAAGACTTCCAGTTCTGTGTTGACTCCTATGCCGTTTGAACTCAGCAGTAGCCAAAGCGCATGCATCGGCAGTTGGAGGAACTCCTGCGAGGCGACTAGAGTCAGAAAAAAGCGACCGACGCGCTGCAGCAAAGGACGATGCACTCGTTCCATGCGCAACAGTCGCGCCTCTAGATACAACAGCACTGACGACTCCTCTGTGATGCCATGTGCCAGGCAGTGCTCGCACTGCCTCTCCAGCTGCGGTATCCTAAGAAAACTGGCGGCTCGCAACACCTCCAATAAGCCGAGCCGAGACAACAGCGGCGCATCCGCAATCATCCAATCGTAAATAAGCCGAAACGCACGGGGCGTTACCCACTCGGATGGCAACTCCACGTTCACAGTATCGTTGCCCAAATCACAAAACAGACCCGAAAAGCACTGCAGCACGATAAGATGCACTTGGAGACTGCTCTGTGCAATGGTTATCACAGCATTAGTCTTTCGATCTTTCTGCACAATCTCCGACAGCAGCTCGTAAAGATGTGGCTTGGCGACTGGCGCTTGGCGCTTCAGCTCCGGCCATTCATCAGGTGCTTTATACCCCAGTGACATAAGCGTGTGATCTGCCAAATTATTGTGGGGCGTATCAGACTGGCAAAAGATGGGCGTATAAGCAGAGGAATTAACAGCCCGTGGCTCAAACTTCTCTTGCCATCGATGCCTTGCCCCAAACTCAGACTCTTCGCTCAGTGGGTTGGAGGAGGCAATGGACTCAATAGATGTCGAATTACCCTCTTCGTCCTCGCATGTATCTTCATTATATTGGTGCATCGCATTGGAGTAGCAATTGGTATCGGAAACGGCGTAATCACGGTTGACTCCGATGACATTGGCAGTGGTACATTGGCCGCCAAATAGAGTCCCAAATACATTATACATTAAAATTTATTTTCAGCTAATAATAGAGTTCTTTGTAAAAATTGTCAACAATGTGAAGTAATAGAAATTGTGTCCACTTGACGAAGACAAATAAGTCAATTCAATTTTTCACCGAACTTATAAATTTATTGGTGAACTTATATAGGTTAGTCTCTGAAGGTTGCAGGAGCAAAAGCTTGTTTTCTAAAAGTGATTTGACCTTAAAGCTAAAATACTAGTAATTTCCATTAGACCGAATATGGAGATTATATAAAATAAATAAATCGTGATATCAGGAACCTGATATTTTTAGTCACCAAATTAAACATCCGCTCGCATAAAGAGAGATGATAGCATGATTAATCAAGTGAACTCTTAAAAATTCGGAAATGTCTGACATAGATAAGCAAATTTTGATGCACAAATAAGGCTAAGATAAAAACAAACAAGAAAAGCCGTCTACATTTGGCACACCGAAGATAACATACACTTGCTACACAGACTACGGATTTGAAGATATGTGGAGCGAATTATGAAGCCTTAATTGCTGAGTTTGCTATAGAATATAAATGTCCGATATTTGCTTATATGTATGGAGAAAGTGGAAGAACTCTAAATATAATATTGTTACACAATCAATGACAAGCCCACTATCCCATTTTTAAGGGTATGCTCAACTGCCGTACATGGGTTAAAATAAGGCAATGTCTCGTCACGTGGAAAACTTTCGATCCATATTTACTTTTGTACATTCATGGTCATTTTTGAGGGCTTTACTTAAATATTTATGGTTGAAAACAGCTATTTTTACTTAAATTAGCTGAACCTTACGCATGACCTTTCATGTGATTAAAATTGTTACGAAATGGCGCTGAAACTTGTCAAAATCACAGCCGGAAAGCTTTGTTTACTTGGTAAGTCAATTGTTTTGATAAAACATTTTAATTTTTGCAAGACTTGCAGTTTAAATCAATCCTAAATCTGAGATGATGAGTAAAGTCTAACGATTCAATACTGCAAAATACCTATAAATCAACTAGCATATGTCACGTCGTAATATAAATGGTTTGTTTAAATATTGCAAAATCGTGCAAGGCGCCGGGCGACTCGAAGTGGGTTGGCCTGCGGTTAGATTCATGCAAATAAAACTTGAGTCGCAGCGCAGCTCATTTGACGTCACAATTGCGCGAAATACGAGAAGCGAAAGTTGACAACCTTCTCAACAGTTTTTGCAACTTTCAAAGTCGCTGCCTTGGCAACAGTTTGAGAGTCACAGTGCAGCGACAATTGATTTTTCCCTTCGTGACACTGAACAGGGTCAACTTGTGTGCGTGTATGTGTTAGCTGCGCGGAAATAGCTGCAGTAATGCGTAGGTGTTCAGATGTGCGTAGATACTCTAATCAAGGCTTTTGCGTCGCAAATAGCTTACCAGGTGCCATAGGCCAATCATCAATGTAGCGGTATGCACATGCAGGCCAAAGCAGCAGGTCCACTCCTTGTTGACCCGGCCATGGTTGCTGTTCCCATTGTTGTTGTTATTTCGTTGCGGGCCCATTTTGACACGGATCCTGAACATTGCACGTCGCTCTGAGGCGACAGGTGTTGCTGTGTAGTGTCGCAGTGCACTAGAGACGGGGAAATGCGAGAGATCAGGCATTAATTATGTTGATGTGCATCGAAATTAGATCTACTTAATGCAGTAATGTATATATGTACGTGTGTATGCATGTATACACACACACGCACCCACTCGCCAATCTATGAAATAATGTGCATACATATGTATGTGTGTGTAGTATGTATTTAATATTGTGCCACTTTTTCACTTCAGATTGTGTCTCATTCGTACTCGATTTGAAGCACTATATGCTAAGTTTGTTCGATTTATTATATACGCATTTCACAATTCTACCTTGCAGATGTTGTTTTTTGTAGGTTTGACTAGTTAAAAATATCAATGTGTCGCACTTTATATGTTTTTACGTACAGAGCTCCGATTTGCTGCTAGCAAAAATCCAAGTAATCAGACAGTGTGTCCGTTCTCTGTTAAATAATCGGCTGCATATCGATATTCTCAAATGGAATTATTTGGTTGCGATAGTAGGCATGTACGCTGTTCCCAAGCAACTCTGCTGTAACAAAATTTTGCTCTGCAGTATTTTTTTAGAGATACTAAGGGAATAGTGTAAAATAAAATGGAATATTAATTTAATAAATTTGATTATCACTAATGAATATTTAGCTTCAAATTTTTTATAATATATACTGAATATTTTCATAAACAAAATAAACGCCCTATTTTAGGTAATAAGCCAGGCAATCGATAACACAATACACAATCGATAGCCCCATCGAGTTGCAGTAGAATATATTTTGTTGTTGATTCAGTTGCGTCTCGTCTCGTGTGCCGTTCTTTGCGTAACGTCAGATCCGTTGTAATATTATTTTTATTTTTGAATATAACTTGGCAACATGGTATTGATAAAGGAATATCGCGTTTGCATGCCGCTAACTGTGGAGGAGGTGAGTACACTTCGTATTTGCCGGTGCAAGCCAACTGTTAACAATTCAACATTTCGCAGTATAAAATTGGACAGCTGTATATGATTGCGCGCCACAGTCTGGAGCAGTTTGACGAAGGGGAAGGTGTCGAGGTGATGGATAACAAGCCCTGCGAAGATCCCGTTCACGGCAAGGGACAGTACACAGAGAAACGCATACACCTGTCCAGGTAATAACTGGCACTATCCCGTCAGGATATGTTCTCTCATCTAAGCATTATATTTCTTTCCAGTCGGCTTCCATACTGGATACAGGCCATTTGTCCGCGCGTTTTCTACGTGACGGAAAAGTCATGGAACTATTATCCCTACACGCTAACAGGTGAGTTTGCGACCATCTGCCGCGTATCTATTTATAGCTCAATGCCCCACAAATACGGCCAGCCCAGCCTGCAACCATACCTCTCGCGATTAATCCACTCCAGCTTTCCAGCTGACTGGTCATAATTATTTGTATCCAATTATTCGTTTAGTTGACATCAAAGTCACTTTGCCATATGGTTGCCCCCTCGTGCCCTCTCATCGATTTGGCGCCTTGGCCTGGCATGTCTACGATAAGCGTACATATATATTTATGTATACTCCTATGGATATTTGTGACCATATCGCTTTTGTCATGCCACCAAGACGTCACGGTCACAGCCGTTACCTTTCTGATAACGCTTACAGCAACAGTGTGAGCGTGGCGGTAGGGTCGCGAGTGTGTAATCTGTTAACAGGTGCTCCAATTCACATCGATCCCGGCTATTGCTAGTGACTGATTTGTTTGGGATCCTCGATTGTTGGTATTTGAGCAAACAATCCCGATAAGCCTTGGCAACGTGGCAGCTGTAACCAGTCTGCTTAGTGGGCTCTACAAATAAACAGATTGATATGACTTATACGCTAGTTTTTGGTCGTTTTAGATATTATCAAGTGGTAACTGATAACAAGGGTAACTAAAATAAATACAATATAATCCCTCCACCCAAGCTATTTGTTGTACAAATTAAATTAATTATACGGCCAATGCATTTACAATATCAAATCCACCGACGAATGCAAATATAAAATGGTATTTGGTTTTCGCTTCCATTATAATTCTTCAAATGTAATTAAGCAGAGAAACAAACAAACACACACGCAGATATTTTGGAACCTAATTGGCTTTCGATGTTTCTATTTTTAGTTATTTTTCGGTAAAGTTAAAATTATGTCATGTATTGATTTTTTCCCTTTATATTTTTATGTTCATGTTGATTCAAATGACTGACCACATGGCAGAATACACGGTAATTATCTAAATTGATTGGGCATGTCGACTCGCATATATATATATAAACATATATACTTTGCATATTACAGTGCTCCTTCATACCCAAATTAAATGTTTTAATCAAGACCAAATATGAGAACAACAATGGCAGCACCGAGAACGTAATTAGTATTTAAAAGAAATCTTAACTTGGAACCAGCTAATTATTGTTATTCTATACAGTGCTTAGATCTCAGCGAGGAAGAGTTGAAGGCGCGTTCAGTAGACCATGTGGACATTGCATTTGACGAGTTCAGTGGCAAACATTATAAACGCGAAGAGGATCCAAAGTTCTTTAAGTCAGAGAAGACAAGTTAGTCTAACAATGAAAGATCTTGAAGCATTTGTAACTGTTTTCGTTTGCAGATCGTGGTCCACTTATCGAGGGCTGGCGTGAAACTGATACTCCTATTATGTGTTCCTACAAGGTGGTGCTGGCCAGCTTCGAGGTTTGGGGTCTGCAGACCAAGGTGGAAGACTTCATACAGCGTGGCATTCGGGATATTTTGCTTCTCGGCCATCGCCAGGCCTTCGCTTGGGTGGATGAGTGGCATGGCATGACCCTGGAGGATGTACGCGCCTATGAGCGACAAAAGCAAGCGGAAACTAATGAGAAGGTTCAGTACAATGCGAATCCACAAGTAGCCAAGGATAATGACGCTGCCGCCAATGGTAGTACAACGCCCACGGATGGGGGCGACTCTTAGAATATTGTTTAAATGACAGCTAGTTGAATTTTTGTGAATGTTATACCAAATTATTGCCAACAGGGCCGGCAGACAGTTTTAACCTATAGCTCAATAAGATAATGTTATGGGACATTGCGAGCTTACAAATTTCTCAAGTCGTAGCCATAGAAAGTACACATATATACTACATATATAAATGGTCCAAATAAGCTCAAGATACTAAATCTGACTTGCAGATAGACATAGAAACAAATATGAGTACTACTCGTAACCAAAAAAGAAAAACATTATATTTATGATTTGCATACTGATATATTTATGTGGGCAACTATTTTAGGTTTGGTTTTTGTTAACTATTCTCTTTAGTTATTTGATATGTATCCTCGTACATAATACGCAGAAGCTGTAGATTTAAATGCGCTGATGACTTAAATGTACAAATACAAAATTAAAAATAAACGAACGTAATTTGTGTAAGTAGTAAACCTTTTGTTGCAACTTTATTGCTTAGATAAGATCATACACATGCCTCTATAGGTTTCTTAGCCACATTTAAAGTTTGATGGCTGAGGTGGTTTTATATATTCGCTGGGTACACATAAATGTTTAAAGACTAGCGTCGTTTCAGTTTTTATAGTGCCTTAAAAGAGAAGCCAAGCATTTGTTTTGGCAATAGAAAATAAAGCAATTAGTATGCGCTTGTCGCAGCTTTTATATACGGCACTCACAATTGGTAGTCTAACATTTTCTGACGGGCTTATCAATCAGCTGTTGATGCTGCACACATGCATAGCTACATATACATAAATCAATTGGCACTATTAACACAGATACGCGAGCACCCATGGAAAAATGAAAACAACAAAATTTCATAACAAACTCACTCTCACAGCTAACACACACAGCAGCAACAATATATAGGCTCACACGTATGTCTCGAACAGCTGATTTGGTTGAAGAGATCTCCGATGCCGCCAAAATATGTCAGCGTTTAGCATTTGCGCCTCATTTGAACTTCAAACGCGAGAAAAGTAGCACAGACCGGGCGAGAGATACGGATGCGAAGCGATTAAAAACTAAAGCTCGGCAACAAAAACATGACATTAAAATATGTAGCAAACGCAGCCGCATACATCTATGTGTAAATAGTTGCCGGTTTGGAGCGATTCTGGCATTATAAAACTGCAAAACAAAAATCATGTGCGAATCCAAAAATGTGAAAGACATTCGGAAATTGACGTATCCAAACTTACACGTGTTTTCAAAGAGATCGCAATAAATACGCATATAGATTGCCGTGCCAGTGAATAAGAATGAGAATGAGCCACCGAAGCACCTTTACTGATGGAAACTCATTTGCGATTAGTTTTTGTCTGTTGCTGGCTATTTTCGGCAGGTGCGCAAACTATTAATCAGACAATGCTGAAAGTGTTTTCGATAAGTGCCGTTTATATTGAGAGCCTTAACTGGTTGCGCATACGTCAAGTAGGCCTATTCATATATAATTTCCAATTGGTCTCTGATCCTCGTATCTTACTGTTGTATTAAATCTAATAGCTTCGTACCGGTCTGTGTCAATGTTAATATTTGGCTCTCTTTCATAAATCAATCTGCTCACTTTTTTTTTTTTTTATCAGCAATGGGTAAACCAGCGTCAAATGGGCTTATCGTAAAAGCTATTTACATGCGCCTAACTGCACCATGTTTATGTACCTGTTGTATAAGCCAACCTGAAGAGCACTGAAGTGTGTCTAAGCTTTTCGACTGAACTGGTTGATTTATTTAACAGGCTCTGATATTTTTTTTTTCGTATTAATTCATCTTTTTATCTTGTTTTTATCACAATTTAAAGAACTGGAATAACAATCGATTTGTCTATTCAAATTTTTGTGTCGAAAAGAACACATGAATTAATTGTTATCTATTTCAATTTAATCGGTCTTGTGACAAATATCTAGATATAAATTAATTGATTGTCTGAGGGGCATAAACACAAGATGAGGCTCACCACTCGACACTGCGGAATGTGGTTCATACTTTTGGGGAAATCCATTAAAAGGGTGGATATTGTTGGTCAGGTGTTTAAAAAAAAAACAAGTTTCAAGTATCTTCCGATCGATTTACTTAATAATTTGGCAAAGCTGCCAGATATTGAATTTTCAGCTGGCGACAAATGGGCGGATGAGTGATGTCTAAACTTAAAGAAACGAAATATATGAAAGTGGGCTATCCATTTGTATGACATATGTATTTAATTATCTTAATTTTGTTCAAATGTTTTGAATGGTAGATCAATACTTTCTATACAGACAGCTTTTGGAATCCTAGAATTAAATGGTGGTTTCTAAACATTTCACCGCAATCTAATAAAAAGCCCTGCTGGTAGGTGATTATATGGCAAGGGTATCATCATATGACTAACTAAATACCTCTGCCCGTTTACTATTATTTAAAGCAACTTGCTTATAAGTGACGCAAAGGCTCTTAGATTTATTGTTAGAATTGGAGGCACAATTAATCATGGAGCGTTCGATTTATATAGCGCTTCTTATCGTGTCTTTACCTTTGGCAAAAACAAAAATTTCCCTTGTATGCCTCTCTTCTCCACATATAACTATTCTAGAAAATATATTCATATTTAGGTCGGTTTTCGTATAACTGTTTGGGATTTTCAGTAAGTAGATAAGCTATCTAGCTTCTTGCTTCTGTCTTAGCTGTCATATCAGGTAATACGCGATTACCTGATGAATGTACTGTGTGAACTGCCTAAAATAGCTCGGCGTCTGGTCTATATTTGTTTTGTTTATAAGAATTTCATACAAAATCTTAAACACATGACAGATAAATATCATCTGATAAACTTACTTTACTAATTCGGGGCACTTGTATTCTGTCCCATTCTTTCTAAAATTTTATTTTAAAATTTTATTATTTGTATACTCTACTACAAAGGTACAAATGAGTATATGGGCTTTAAGGACGCCCAAAGTTCGAAATAACTCTGCTACGAGCAGTACACAGAGCCGAGCCCTGATTCGAATTGAAACCTTTATTTAACATGAGGGGGACCCCGTCTAAATGCATAAATAAATGTGTCCGCAACAACTTGAGGCCAATTTGTTTAAAATTAAAAACTAACTTTAAGTCGAAGCGTGACAAGCTCTTGAGTGGATTTATTTTTATTACCGAATTGATAAACTAGTTTCAAGTGGCTGCACCAAATCGAGAAAGATAAAGGTGTAGAAACATAATGTCTTATAGCACTTTATGAGATCAATGCAAACGTTTCTTATCAACTTTTTTTTGGAAAATACGTAAATTGGACATTAAGAAAACAATTTCATTTTCATATAATCATATTTGTGTGAAAAAAAACCGGAAGCCTGAAATCGCTTACTCGTTGGTAGATGGACCTAATCCAAGCTACGGGATGTTGATAAAGAACATAACAGTTCGCCTTCTAGTAGAGAAGAGAGCATATATCTAGGGTGAAGATTTGCATTGCTCTGTCTTTCTGTTTGTAGGCAGTGCATGTACCTAATATGCGCCTTACATACGAGTTCAAGCTTCCCAAGATCGGTCTATTAAATCATTAACCTTTATAAAAAGGAATAGCTCGAGTTGTTATATGGAAACAATTTTTGTGTTAAAGTAACTCAGCGATTACGAGCTTTACTATCGTTTTTACACATTTACAAGCCCGTAGCCACAATTCTAGCTCTTCTTCTTTTTACTTACTAGTTTGAATAAATAGTTAATTAATTAAATTAAATTGAATTTACATAGGTTTTGCCGGCTTAGACCTTGGCCATGCTGTTAATAATAAATTACAATTATTCAATATTTACTTCAATTTGTTTTGATTGGCTTAATAAATCGCAAGCGAATTGTCACAACCAAATGTCAGACAGCATGAAATACTTTTCAATTAAAATTGATTGCCAATTGGTTTTAGTAGGTTGCGCACTTGTCTATTTTGTTTGCATTAAGCTGAACAGACTACGTAGATATATCTCCAAAATTTGTCGGTCCTATGGAAGAACAAAAATATGGAATTATTTTGAGACTAATTTTCGTCTTAAATAAGGCTGGTAATTAAATTTGGTTACTAACCGAATTATCGCTGCAAATTAGTACGATTCTTGACTTTCTGTTAGTCTTTCAAATAACACACATACGCCATGTGCGCAAATATTTGTTCTTCACGATTTTGCCCAACAGTCAGTCAAGCTAATAACGTACAGCTACCATTTTGGTAAATTTCAAAACAAATATTTTCGTCGACTTTAATTATAGCCTGAACCCATTAAAAATGTATAAAGAGGGTATAATGTGCTTATGTGGGTTTATGTAACATGCAGAAAAAGCAAGATGCCAAGAACTATTTATATTCTTGATTCAGGACGACAAGCAGCGTTTTCATAATATAATATAATAATATAATAGGTCCATAAACTGGACTTAGAGACTTTTTTAAAGTATAACTGAACATATGCAAGTTTCTTACGCAAAACGAGTTTATCATTTAGCGACTTGGGTTTTCGAACATTAAACAAAAACTCTAATAATAATTGGAAATTGAACACAGTTTGCTTATTACATTATCTTAAGTTAGATATATATATATGTATATATATTTATATATACATCATGGATATATTGGTATGTTATTCATATATACATTTTTATACCCTGAGCCCATTAAAAATGGGTATAAGGGTATATTGTATTTGTGCAAAATCAAAATGTATGTAACAGGCAGAAGGAAGCATCTACGACCCCATAAAGTATATAAATTCTTGATCAGCATCAATACCCCTCCGCTACCACCCCATAGCTATAAATCAAGTTAATAACCCAACTTTTATTGCCAACCAATTGAAGCCAAAATTTAAATGCAATTGACTTTTTCAGTATACACAAATATTCCATGATACAATAAGATATACTGTAGAAAATTTCATAAAGATCGGTTAAAAAAAACCAAAGGTTATATGCAACTGCGAAATTGAATAGAGCAGCATATCCGCGCGGAGATATGACGTTCCAAAACGACAGAACTCCCCGCGGAGATATGACGTTCCAAAACGACATAACTCCGCGGAGATATAACGTTCCAAAACGACATAACACCCCGCGGAGATATGACGTTCCAAAACGACAAAGCTCCCCGCGGATATATGACGTTCCAAAACGGCATAACTCCGCGCGGAGATATGACGTTCCAAAACGACAGAACTCCCCGTGGAGATATGACGTTTCAAAACGACATAACACCCCGCGGAGATATGACGTTCCAAAACGACATAACACCCCGCGGAGATATGACGTTCAAAAACGACAGAACTCCCCGTGGAGATATGATGTTTCAAAACGACATAACACCCCGCGGAGATATGACGTTCCAAAACGACATAACTCCGCGCGGAGATATGACGTTCCAAAACGACAGAGCTCCCCGTGGAGATATGACGTTCCAAAACGACAGAACTCCCCGTGGAGATATGACGTTTCAAAACGACATAACACCCCGCGGAGATATGACGTTCCAAAACGACATAACACCCCGCCGAGATATGACGTTCAAAAACGACAGAACTCCCCGTGGAGATATGATGTTTCAAAACGACATAACACCCCGCGGAGATATGACGTTCCAAAACGACATAACTCCGCGCGGAGATATGACGTTCCAAAACGACAGAACTCCGCGCGGAGATATGACGTTCCAAAACGACAGAACTCCCCGTGGAGATATGACGTTTCAAAACGACATAACACCCCGCGGAGATATGACGTTCCAAAACGACATAATTCCGCGCGGAGATATGACGTTCCAAAGCGACATAACTCCGCGCGCAGGTCGAGGTCGGTGCAAAAATCGAAACTTTTTCGATGATTTTTTGATAATATCTCGGGTAAATTATGTCTGATTTTAAAATGTTATACCTTTTTGAATGCGTACGGATCCCAACCATCAATTGGCATTCAAACAAATTAATCATCGATGGGTTAAAAAATGTTGTTGACAAAATCCGATTCGTTCGTAAATTCAACCTTTTTGATGATTTTTTGGAATATTTCCGTCAAATAATGTCCGATTTTGCAATTGCATACAATTTTTGAATCGTAAGGATCAGTTCTATCGATTGGCATCAAAACAAAAGAAATCCAAAATGACGTTCCAAAACGATATAACTCCTCGCGGAGGTCGCTCGGAGGTCGAGGTCGGTTCGAAAATCGAAACTTTTTCGATGATTATACCCTGAACCCATTAAAAATGGGTATAAGGGTATATTGTATTTGTGCAAAATCCAAATGTATGTAACAGGCAGAAGGAAGCATCTCCGTCCCCATAAAGTATATATATTCTTGATCAGCATCAATACCACTCCGCTACCACCCCATAGCTATAAATCAAGTTAATAACCCAACTTTTATTGCCAACCAATTTAAGCCAAAATTTAAATGCAATTGACTTTTTCAGTATACACAAAAATTCCATGATACAATACAACTGTAGAAAATTTCATAAAGATCAGTTAAAAAAAACCAAAGTTATATGCAACTGCGCAATTGAATAGAGCAGCATATCCGCGCGGAGATATGACGTTCCAAAACGACAGAAGTCCCCGCGGAGATATGACGTTCCAAAACGACATAACTCCGCGGAGATATAACGTTCCAAAACGACATAACTCCGCGCGGAGATATGACGTTCCAAAACGACATAGCTCCGCGCGGACATATGACGTTCCAAAACGACAAAGCTCCCCGCGGAAATATGACGTTTCAAAACGACAGAACTCCCCGCGGAGATATGACATTCCTAAACGACATAACTCCGCGCGGAGGTTTGACGTTCCAAAGCGACATAACTCCGCGCGGAGATATGACGTTCCAAAACGACATAGCTCCGCGCGGACATATGACTTTCCAAAACGACAAGACTCCCCGCGGATATATGACGTTCCAAAACGGCATAACTCCGCGCGGAGATATGACGTTCCAAAACGACATAACTCCCCGCGGAAATATGACGTTTCAAAACGACATAACTCCCCGCGGAAATATGACGTTTCAAAACGACATAACTCCCCGCGAAGATATGACGTTCCAAAACGACATAGCCCCGCGCGGAGATATGACGTTCCAAAACGACATAACTCCGCACGGAGATATGACGTTCCAAGACGACATAGCTCCGCGCGGAGAAATGACGTTCCAAAACGACAGAATTCCCCGCGGAGATATGACGTTCCAAAACGACATAACTCCGCGGAGATATAACGTTCCAAAACGGCATACCTCCGCGCGGAGATATGACGTTCCAAAACGACAGAAGTCCCCGCGGAGATATGACGTTCCAAAACGACATAACTCCGCGGAGATATAACGTTCCAAAACGGCATAACTCCGCGTGGAGATATGACGTTCCAAAACGACATAACTCCCCGCGGAAATATGACGTTTCAAAACGACATAACTCCCCCCCGCGGAAATATGACATTTCAAAACGACAGAACTCCCCGCGAAGATATGACGTTCCAAAACGACATAACCCCGCGCGGAGGTTTGACGTTCCAAAACGACATAACTCCGCGTGGAGATATGACGTTCCAAAACGACAGAACTCCCCGCGGATGTATGACGTTCCAAAACGGCATAACTCCCCGCGGAAATATGACGTTTCAAAACGACATAACTCCCCATGGAGATATGACGTTTCAAAACGACATAACACCCCGCGGAGATATGACGTGCCAAAACGACAGAACTCCCCGCGAAGATATGACGTTCCAAAACGACATAACTCCGCGGAGATATGACGTTCCAAAACGACAAAGCTCCCCGCGGAGATATGACGTTCCAAAACGACAGAGCTCCCCGCGGATATATGACGTTCCAAAACGGCATAACTCTGCGCGGAGATATGACGTTCCAAAACGAAATAACTTTGCGCGGAGATATGACGTTCCAAAACGACATAACTCCCCGCGGAAATATGACGTTTCAAAACGACAGAACTCCCCGCGAAGATATGACGTTCCAAAACGACATAACTCCGCGCGGAGATATGACGTTCCAAAACGACATAACTCCGCGCGGAGATATGACGTTCCAAAACGATAGAACTCCCCGCGGATATATGACGTTCCAAAACGACATAACTCCCCGCGGAAATATGACGTTTCAAAACGACATAACTCCCCGCGGAAATATGACGTTTCAAAACGACATAACTCCGCGCGGAGATATGACGTTCCAAAACGACAGAACTCCCCGCGGAGATATGACGTTCCAAAACGGCATAACTCCGCGCGGAGATATGACGTTCCAAAACGACATAACTCCCCATGGAGATATGACGTTTCAAAGCGACATAACACCCCGCGGAGATATGACGTTCAAAAACGACATAACTCCGCGCGGAGATATGACGTTTCAAAACGACATAACTCCCCGCGGAAATATGACGTTTCAAAACGACATAACTCCCCGCGGAAATATGACGTTTCAAAACGACATAACTCCGCGCGGAGATATGACGTTTCAAAACGACATAACTCCCCATGGAGATATGACGTTTCAAAGCGACATAACACCCCGCGGAGATATGACGTTCCAAAAAGACAGAACTCCCCCGAAGATATGACGTTCCAAAACGACATAACTCCGCGGAGATATGACGTTCCAAAACGACAGAACTCCGCGCGGAGATATGACGTTCCAAAACGGCATAACTCCGCGCGGAGATGTGACGTTTCAAAACGACAGAACTCCCCGCGGAGATATGACGTTCCAAAACGACATAACTCCGCGCGGAGATGTGACGTTTCAAAACGACAGAACTCCCCGCGGAGATATGACGTTCCAAAACGACATAACTCCGCGCGGAGGTTTGACGTTCCAAAACGATATAACTCCTCGCGGAGGTCGCTCTGAGGTCGAGGTCGGTTCGAAAATCGAAACTTTTTCGATGATTATACCCTGAACCCATTAAAAATGGGTATAAGGGTATATTGTATTTGTGCAAAATCCAAATGTATGTAACAGGCAGAAGGAAGCATCTCCGTCCCCATAAAGTATATATATTCTTGATCAGCATCAATATAGCTTCTAAAATAGAATATATATGTGTAATTGATGTTGGAAGAAGAGGGTTCAGGGTATCCCCTAGTCGGGAGCTCCCAACTAGAACCTCTTACTTGTTTAGTATGTGTATCATCATTTTCGAATTCATATTTTGGTATATTTCCTTTTATATAATATGTATATATTTAATATGATATAAGTACAAGAGATTTTGTAGTCGAGCACACTCGACTACGACTTTTTGTTTTTATTTTGTATATTGTTAATTTTAACACTTGCGCAAAAAACATTGATAAACAATGCTAATTGCAACTAATCAAACTTCTAAACGCCACCAGCAAAATATCATTGAAATCATAAATACAAAATAGATATGTTTTCATATTAATTATATGCAATATGTGAGGTTTTGATATAACTGAAGTCCTAATCTGTACTAAAAAACTAAGTGCTTGTGTAATAAGTATGTGGAGATCTCTTTACCTCAGGTTAATTTATGTATTGGAAAACGTAGAATATTTACTAAATAATTTGATTTCTTACGGCTCACAGCATTGGCAATAATTGCTCAAATTGAACGTTGTTCAACTGTCAGCATTGTTTCTCTAATTTTGTGAGATCCGAACATATAAGTATGTCACAAACAGATCTACCGATGTGCTAAGTGACACCACCTTCATGTCAGCCAGAAAAAGCGTCGCATCCCGCGTTATATACAGAGCTAATTAGGGCCTCACAATGTTGGCTCTCATATTTAGTACTTGATCAGAGTGCTACCGATTAACTTGGCGCGGAACTCATGTACATGCACTCGTATAAACATGTGTATCTCTTACTTATGTATATTAAATATAACTTTGTATGTATGTGCATGTATGTACACAAGTTAAATAACCATAAACAACATTTGGGTTTAATTGGAAGTGCCAAAATCGACACGATGGGCAATTATTTGCTGGATACGCGTTAGTTGTCAAAAACTAGTAGGAATGTTCTCATCAAGGGGTCCGGACTAGAAAATACCCTATAGGCAAGATTTTAAGATTACAAATCTGCTTGAAACTTTTTATAATAATTAATATATTATTCAATTCAAAACTCCAAGATATTATTTACAAAATATAAGACAATTATTTCCAACTGCCGCAGGGCTTCAAATTTGATTAATATTTATCGCGTTCATCGTGAATATATTAAATTAAGCGAAAAAGTATAAAATGAAAAAGCATTTAGCCTATCAATAAATTCATGAACACTAAAATAATGATGGAAAATGACGATAAGATAGGGAAGGCCACAGAGACTCGTCTAGATCACATATTATTTGGGTTATAAAGCGTACACAGATTAAATCAAACAGATAAAATATATATATTTGTAAATGAACAACTCTATAAGCAAATAAAAATTGAATTGTGCTATCGATCTCTATTTATCACGGAGCTAGAGTGAACACAACCATAAAAGTTGAATAGCTCTTCGAATTGGCGTACGTTGATATGGTTTGAAGTTTTGGCATGCCAATAATTATCACCTAGCCCAACCCCATTTCCAGAAATAGATTTGATTGTACCCGCAATCAAATACGACTTCAATTGCGTACTATATTGTTTTAGCTTATTTATTAATGAATGTGCACAGGTATTGCGGCGCCACGTATGCTCCAGATGATTCCCCGACCCTGACAACTACGTCCACAACGGTGGCAGCTGAGATGCCGGCTCTGAACCCCGGCCACAGCTGCGTTAATTGGACGGCAGCGCCGGAGGCTGCAGACGGAAACTGCACCCGCCTAACGCGCCATGGATTGATCAGGTGCTATGGCGGCATGAATAACCTGGCATCGTTAAAGTAGGAGATTTAATGGCGGATCGGATGGCTTACTAATTCGTGACATTCTTACAGTTCCAAGCTGGGAAAACTCTTTCCGGCACAACAGATGCTGTTGTGCGGCTGGCCCAAGGAAGCCTTTAACCCGCTGGGCGAATTGCAAAAGTTTCCCCATCTGCGCTCCTTGACCATCGAATACAGCGGCTTCACAGAGTTCATATTCGACTTTCCGGATATGTTCCATCTGCAGGTGCTTATGGACACCAATTGGGTTTTGAGGTTGCCAATTTGTATGTGTTGTGCACTCATTGCAGGCAATTAACATATCCTGGACGAATCTCTCGTACATCTCTGCGCGCACCTTTAAGCGTGTGCATGCGTTGCAAATTTTGGATTTGCGCTGGAACCAGCTGATCCAGCTGGATGGACCGCTGATATTGCCACGCACCTTCCAGCAGCTGTACCTGGCGGGCAATCCGTGGAACTGTACTCGCAACTTCAAGTGGCTCTTGTTGCAGCCGGAGAAGGGTCGGCTGGTAGCCGATCGCGAGGAGCTTATCTGCACCGACCGCAAGTACAAGGAGCGACAAATGCTGCTTGTCATGCACTACAAGGTGGTAAGTATCCCGAAAGTGAAAGTAACTCTGGTCCATTTACTGATCCGCTTATAATTCCAGGTGCTGAGAAGAGAGTGCCAATCGCATGCGGATCTCCTGAACTGCACATGCGTAATGCATCACATAATTCCCAAGGCATACATTCCACTTTACACGGTCAACTGCTCGCATCTCCAGTTTCAAAGCTTGCCCGCGTATTTGCCAGAAAATACAACTACATTGTATATAAATGATAATCAGGTAAGAACGTCTAGCGTCTAGTGATATATAGTATTGTTATTTACGTTTCCGCTCACTAATCCATTTTAGATCAGCGACATTTATCCACTGAAAGATAATCCACACTATCGTCATGTGGTGGATGTGCAGCTGGAAAACAATCGGATCTCTAACATTGACCTTCTAGAGGACACATACTGGCTGCAAAACTTTCGCTTGCTCAATCTGCAGGGAAATCTGTTGCGAAAACTTCAGGTCTATGCGCTGGACAATGCCCTTAACGATAACGAGAATGCGAATCTCCTGCTGCTTAGCAAGAATCCCTGGCACTGCACATGCAAGTTTGGAATGCGACTGCGCGAATTGCTAACCAAGTACAAGGACATTGTTCGTGATGCGTGGAACGTCACCTGCACCTATATGCAGGGTGACGAGCTACGCCTGGCCAAGGTGCTGTCGCTGACGCGTCACGACATGTGCAACATAAGCCCTGACGATGGCATGCGAATCCATCCCATCGACTGGCTGAACTGCGTCCTGGCCAGTCTCATCATACTGATACTTGGCAAGCTCGCCTATGACTACTATTTCTATAAATATCACGGCCGGGTTCCTTGGATAGTCTTGAAGATGCCGTAGGAAAGCTCAGTTTTTAAATAGTTGGTTCAAAGTATTACAAATGTAAATAGTTGAGGGTGTTCGACTAGAGATACCTTTTAGCAAATTTTATTACAGAGTATAATAAAATAAATGCTTTTTGAGTTGCGCTATCAAATAAGTTCACATAGGGCAATTTTATCTTATTAAAATAAGAATTATTTAATTTGTACTTTTATATTATACAAAATTTACGAAAAGTGTAAATATATTTGTAACTGGAGCTTTTACGGAAGTATTTCTTAAGCGAAATAGTAATTATTGTATATTCAAGTATTTGTAATAGCTTTCTGTATTTTTCTGTATTTTAATAGCAAATTACTAAGTAAATATTTGCCTATTTTATTTATTGTTAAAATTTATTATTATAAAAGCAAAGATATCAACAATAATAAATTTGATTGGTTTGTCAATTACAACGATCCCTTTTTGTGTTGGGTAGTGTAGCGGTATTTTCGTCACCGAGAAGAACATTTTTTGATTCAAATACTTTTTTTCAACAAAGTTTAAAGGACATGCCAGGAATAAATCAAATGAAGGGGGGGAGTGGGGGAGGAGATATACTTTCAATGAATATAGAGTAAAAGAATAGCACTGAGCCAACTTCCTTCTTTCAATATAGCCCACTTTGGAAGACTCTTTGGACTCTCATCCTCGGCAAGTGAGAAGGGAGGAAAATTATAAATTCAAGCCTAGAAGGTAAGAGGTTATGATGTACTCAGCCAAAGATTAGTAATGTTTAACTTATTTCCTGGCAAGGTAAATTTACGTAAGTTGGAAAAAAAGCTGATAAATCGGAACCAGTCTGCTGCATATGTTACCTTGGTTTAGCCAGTACCAATTGATAATGGTCCCTCGGGCTTGGAATACCAACCGAAACCGAAACATGCAACCAAAATGGCTTTTTTTGTTCACTGGCGTGATTATCGTATTCCCCGACGTGCTTTTAACTGGTCATTTGCAAGAGTTGCTGCAGTTGCTGCACCCGAAGCCGACTTAGTTATTGTCAGATTTTTGGCCACAATGGAAGGTTCGCTGATGCCAATTGCTATTGGAATAAGCCGTGCCATTGGCTTGTGCAATCTTCGCTATATGCCGGAACTGAAACGCTTTGAGCTGGATCATGGGGCCATGATGGTTTATTGGCTGTTCTTAGATGTAGTGTACCTGGTGCTCACGCCCACGACCTTTATCGTGATGGTTCATAGCTTCTTTAGCTGCCAGGATATGGACATGCTGGCTGTGGCTTTTAGCGCAGTGGCTCTGGCCAAAGGCTGCTCGATGCTGGTGATGCTGGCTAGCATTTGGCTGCGACGTCGACGAGTGCAGCGTCTCGGAAATGGTCTGCTAGCGTTGGTTGAGCGATATCCCCGATATCATGACTATAGCTTCTGGCGGCGACACTCTTGGAAACTCTTCTTGGGCACCGCACGTTTTGTAGTGCTGATACATCAGCTGTTTGGACCAGGCAGCGCGCTCATGTGTGGCGAAGACGATGAAATCGTGACAAAAGTACCGCCCACTTACATTGTCCTGGCCGTGGCTACTCTGCTGATGGAACTAGCGCTTAGTTGCTCTGACACCTTGATATACTTTCTGCTGGCCACCAGCAATCGTCTGCTTGAGTGCATGTCGCAGGAGCTGCTTGAGCTGGCACAGGATGTGCGCTGGTTACCCTCATCGCATGGCTGCCATCGAAGTGTTTACCAGCGCCAGCTTTTGGCCGCTTGGCGGCGTCTCTGGCGTAGTTGTTTGCGTCTTGATTGCTTGCTCCAGCAGCTGCTGCAGATCTTTCAGTTGCAAATGCTATTGAATCTGTTTACCAACTATCTGATCGACATAACTATTATATTCAATCTGGTTGTCTACTTTGCCGATGCGGAATACATCAGTAAATGGCGAATTATTTTCTATTTCGTGATTTGCATATCCTACCACTTTGATATTATGATGCACTTCTCCATATTTGGAACCAACCATCAGCAATGGATGCGCCTCTCTGCACGCCTACAAAGGTTGTGGTTTGCACTAAAGCCATTGAATATAGATTGGCAGGATACTCACGCGATGGCCATGTTGCGTCAGGTGAGTACACAGTTTAAACAAATAAGAACTTTCGACTTGAGCATTTCCGTCGGGATTTTTTTTTATAGGTCGAGTTCGCTGTGATTTTTCTCAACCGGAAGCAGCAGCGGCGTCCGGAACGCATGCGTCGTCTTCAAGTTGTCGGCTTATTCGAATTGAACAGATCATCATGGAATTCAATGAACTCTTCCATAGCGACTAATGTGCTCATACTATGCCAGATTGCATATAAGATTTATTATTAGAGCAAACCTTTTGTGACCTATTTCGAATGCAAATGTGCCGCAAACCTAAAAGCTTTATATTTGTGAGCAGCTTCAATATAATGGCACAAGCTTTCAAGAAAACCCAGTTTTAAAGCTTTTTAACATTAAATACAACTTTTCGAAGGCAACAATTTCCCAGTATTTATGTGAAATAAGAAGCTGCTAAGTTAATAATAAGTATGCTATAATTTTGGAAGACCTGTGAACTGAAATAAAATAAATTTGTTAAGAAAAATCTGAATACCTTTTACGTAAGTTTTAACAAAATTAAAGTGGGACACAAGGCTTAGTTTCTCAATCGGATCAAGTCTTATAATTACTTAAAAGAATGTGTCCGTTTGTCTGTCTGTCTGCTCATGAGTCTGTGTCTTTTAAACCAGTTAAGCCATCAAATCGACAAAATGGCAAGGGGTTACATTACGTTTTTTTTTTCAAAATCGAGGTCGGTGCGAAAATCGAACCTTTTTCGATGATTTTTTTTTTTAATATCTCGGGTAATAGCTCCGCGCCAAGATATGACGTTCCAAAACGACATAACTCCGCGTGGAGATATGACGTTCCAAAACGACATAACTCCCCGCGGAGATATGACGTTCCAAGACGACATAACTCCCCGCGGAGATATGACGTTCCCAAACGACATAACTCCACGCGGAGATATGACGTTCCAAAACGACATAACTCCGCGCGGAGATATGACGTTCCCAAACGACATAACTCCCCGCGGAGATATGACGTTCCCAAACGACATAACTCCACGCGGAGATATGACGTTCCAAAACGACATAACTCCCCGCGGAGATATGACGTTCCAAAACGACATAGCTCCCCGCGGAGATATGACGTTCAAAAACGACATAACTCCGCGCGGAGATATGACGTTCCAAAACGACAAAGCTCCGCGCGGAGATATGACGTTCCAAAACGACATAACTCCGCGCGGAGATATGACGTTCCAAAACGACATAACTCCGCGCGGAGATATGACGTTCCAAAACGACATAACTCCACGCGGAGATATGACGTTCCAAAACGACATAACTCCGCGCGGAGATATGACGTTCCAAAACGACATAGCTCCGCGCGGAGATATGACGTTCCAAAACGACATAGCTCCGCGCGGAGATATGACGTTCCAAAACGACATAACTCCGCGCGGAGATATGACGTTCCAAAACGACATAACTCCGCGCGGAGATATGACGTTCCAAAACGACATAACTCCACGCGGAGATATGACGTTCCAAAACGACATAACTCCGCGCGGAGATATGACGTTCCAAAACGAATGTTAAAGACTACAAAACCATTAGTTCGTAAATTCAACCTTTTTGATGATTTTTTGGAATGTTTTCTTCAAATAATGTCCGATTTTGCAATTTCATACCATTTTTGAACCGTAAGGGTCAGTTCTATCGATTGGCATAAAAAAAATGAAATCCAAATTTTGACCCAAGTCGACAAAATGGCAAGGGGTCACGTTTTTTTTCAAAATCAAAATCGGTGCGAAAATCGAAACTTTTTCGATGATTATACCCTGAACCCATTGAAAATGGGTATAAGGGTATTTTGTATTTGTGCAAAATTGAAATGTATGTAACAGGCAGAAGGAAGCATCTCCGACCCCATAAAGTATATATATTCTTTAACAGCATCGATATAGCTTCTAAAATAGAATATATATATGCATTTGATGTTGGAAGAAGAGGGTTCAGGGTATCGGGAGCTCCCGACTAGAACCTCTTACTTGTTAAAAATCAGACACGTTGTGAAACGGCACTAACTATAGCTACCAATAACTAACATCATTATCATTATCATTATCAATATCTATTGGACTTCGGCTAAGACAGTCTTTTAACAGATATATTAAAAATGTTCTATTTTGTCAAGCCGTTTTCATACCTACGCTTCAGATCAAATTGCATTAGAAAGATGACGTGGCACAGTACGGTCGCTAAGTACCCCAGACAGGCAGGCTTGTCGAGGACCACACAGCCACAAATTCGATAGACAAGACGATTGTTGCGTAGGCGAATCACAAATAGCTCCAACTGCAAGCAAAAGGGGTATATTTAAAAAAAGTGGTTTAAATTTTGAATATTGACACACCTCTTTCTCTGACTCCGGGCTCAGTGTGTATAGATCGTTAAACTGTTTAACGAGCTGAGCCGAATCATTGCATGAGTTTATAGCACTATCCACCATATTCATAATTAAGGCCGAATTCCAAAAGTTGAATACAATAAGTCCATCGCCAATGAGAAATCCCCAGTTATCGGACTCTATTGTCTGATTAGCAAATTGCACGGCATGGTAGAGAATATTCACATTAACGGCAAACATATTCAGAAAGATGCTGGCATTAGCCACGTCGTAAATGCTAAATGCGCGTCGAGCCAAAATGACCCACTCGGCGTGTATGGCAGCAATGCGTCTCAGATCCTCCTGCGTGCGCGATCTCACGCGCCGGCACAGGGCCTGCAGCGAGAGTTGAACAGCCCGAAACTGATGATTGAGCAGCAGAAGCAGCGTAAAAAAACCAACTCGAACCACTGAAACCATCAGCATTGCAGCAGCATGCATCAACAGCTGCAAACGATTACCCGAGCTGAGCAACCGATATTGCATTAGAATTGAACAGCAGAGCATCGCATAATTAATGCACAGCTTGCGGCGCAGTAGTCCCGCTAGAATCAATTGCATTCGTTCCAGTGACTCTTCGCCGGCAACACGGCACAGGATTTGCCAGTGGGCCCTCCAATGCACAAGAAAGTCTCTGTAAAGCTGTATTAGCCGTTGGCGTTGTAGCCAGACCAACCCATAGCAGCTCAAAATGGCAATAATGCGTACCAACAGTCCTACAATCAGAGCCCACTGCAGCACAATGTTGTTCCTCATATAACCGCTGAAGAGGCCGCCGGGCATCATACACGGTACCTCCAACAATAGCACCACGGTCAGGAAAACGCTATAGATCATATAGCCGGCGGATACCTTCGCTATGGCCAAGTTGCAGTTGCCAATTTTCAGCGTTGTTGGCATCAGCCCATAGATGAGCATGTGGTAGTAGCTTATGATGAGCAGCACGCGCAACTTACGATTCAACATGCTTCGGTTAGAGTCACTAACTAATAAAAAACAGAGTGTACGCGAAAAGCCTTTGGCTGTTGATTGTTGATGAGGAAAATTAATTAGTTAAAGGTGCGTTTGGTTGTTGATAATCTGATAGCTTGACAGTTCCCAAGGCTCATTCATTTTCCATGTAGCGTGGTTACTAATCAGGTTGATTTATTTGTTATACCTTGCTCTTCTATCAGCAACCAGCTCCGTTAACCTGACCAGGTATGTATAAATATATAATTTGAATTACATACACTTGTACAAAACCCACTTACTGTAGGTTACCCATAAATATTACCTAACAATATTGAAACGGCAGAGCCAAAAGTTCGAATCAACGTAATCCATTCATTTTTAACTAAGATCATTTTAAGATCATTTTAAAATTTATTAGAGATTCCTCCCGATTTACGATTTTGGGAAGTCAAAAAAAAATAAGTGGCTAGATGTCAAGAAAAATATTACTTTTCCCACCATCTCGAATGCCACAAAAACTTGGGATTCTATGGCACTTGGAATATGTTCATAAATATCATGGCCGATAGTGGACAAATAAATGTTTGTGAGATAAGTTGATTATTGATTTTTAATGCTGTTGACAGCAAGCGAGGGTCCTTATTAATAATTTGCATAAGTTTCTTTAAGTGAAAAGTGCTTCAGTGCTAAAGTGCAGACTGTTGTTTTTCATAAAATTGAGAGTGAGCGTGTGAGTAGCCCATTATTATGCTCTTGTTCAACATCGTCGGCCGTGCCTGTTGCCTAATAGCGTGCCGTTTCGCATCAAGTTATTAAATATTAAAGGCTATTTATCAAACGCGTTCCAATCGTTTGTGATTACAATGGGTTTGTCTACAAAGCGTACAAACAGCGATGCCAACAAGGAAAGTAATTGTTTGTCCGAGGCCGCGGGGAATGAAGAAAGAACTTATGAAGCATTCCCCATTTTGGACTTCAGACATGAAAATAAGTATTGAACGCTGACTGTTACAAAAAGTGGTATAAATAAATTTGTTTGCTCTTAAATTTGTTTTATTTAACAGATGTCAAGACAATCCAATGCTAGCCTGAGAGGGTTAATTTGTTTCCTGCTTTCTATAGTTTTGATTGAGTAGTCCAGGCGCAGTCTTATCAATTTTTCCACTTTTGTTTCAACTATTGTTTTTCTTCACATTTTTATACCCTTGAGCCGATCCGATGAAGCCATGATTTCTTTAGTATAAATGCGTCTATGTCCGAGACATTCAAAAATTAAAAAAAAAATCAACATTAAACAAAGTTTCAGGTTTGTTATGACTTAGGCATTTTCCAAAGTCCCGAATGCTATAAGTGAAAGCTTGCTTGCCGAAAATTCTGGAAAATTCACTCATCCGTGCAGCCCCTTATAAGCTCATCCACGCAAGCGCTCAAGCTATACAAAAGGATGTTTAATTTGTTTGCTGGCTAATTGAATGCAATTTCAGGAGCACAGCTTCTCTGGACATTGTCATTTTGCCCAAAGCATTCCAACAACTGGGGGCGGATGTTCGGGCTCCATGTGTCCAGCTATGGCATTAAATATGACTCAGTAGCTAACCCTATCATTTTCTTCTCCTGCCCAACAATATTTCTTAGCTGTGTTTTGTATTAATTCCAATTATCCGCACGACTGGGGAATTTTCATTTAGATTGATAGGATTTGGGGTCATTATGCGTTTCATCCGTCTGTGGACGCACAATCAACATCCGCCAACCATCTGGACACACACATTGTTGTCATATACTTTGTTGTTTCTGCTTTAATACCCTGTACTCAAGAAAGGGGTAAGGAATCTCAGGCATTAAACGGTGCGAATACATCTTATGTTCGAATGAATGCCTTTTCAACTTATTTGAAAGTTTCCTGAAACTTAAGACAGATTATTATTATTACAGATTATTATAACTATTACATTTTCTTGACCCCTCTTTTTAATTAAAATGATACCTTTGATCAAAATATTTATCCCTGTTTGTTTTATTATTATTTTTAAGCCTTAAAATTATCCAGCTGTATATGCAATTTGTCTTTTGTTTAGGGTAACTTCTACTCAATCACAGCCAAGTGGAGCACTCTGACTTATTGTTTTAGTGTTTGCTGTAGTTTTTGTTGTTGTTGATGATTTTCGTCTTGGGCAGATGTGTGGAAATCGATGGTTCGTTTGGGGCACATAACTGGCAGGGAGGACTTCTGTATTGATTGCAAAGTTTCGCTTATGACATGGCCGGAGCACAACACGAACAAATAAGATTTCTTCCAAAAACTAATTAGCAACGGGCATAGTTCATTTAACTTGCTGTGCTTGTTCATGCTCTGTCCCGAGCTGCTTTTGTTAATGAATCCATTTTGAGCTCCATTAACTGAATTAAAATTATAAAATTGCCGAAAATGCATCAGCAAAATGTGCACGTTCAGCAGCAGTTAATGGCAGTTGCCCTCTGTCGTAGCTCTTAACAGAACATCGATTTCCTAATGTTGCATTCGCTTTAATGCAGTCAATTTATTGTATCGGCTTTCCAGAAGCCGACATGTCTTTTAAATTGACAGGACGGAACTTTCGACTCAAGCCGCTATCAACAGAACCACAAGAATGTGGGTCAAGTAGTTTTCAACACTTAAATAAACTCAGCTGCATTGCCACGACTTCAACCGGCTCGTGGTTTCATCCTTTCGTCCTGAATGCGAGCCAACAAAATGCTGGACAGCATTTTCTTTGGCATTTTCGTTTTCTGGGTCAACGTGGACGTCGCATAAATATAAATTGTATTGTTTCAAAAAAGTTTTTCCAGTCGAGTTTCGCGGCTAACGGAAAAGTAGTTAAAGTTTTGTTTTCGCCGCTAGTTTATTGCGTGATTTCCTTTGCAATGACACAGCCCTGACAGAGGGGACGCTTGCGAGGGTTGCTTTTGGCCGGACTTTTCTCATCTCTTGGCAGCCGACTGAGCCCGTTTAAAGGTGCTAAAACATTTTCCCAAATAATTTACAGGCTGTTGTTGGTGTATTTGTGGTTATTTTCACAAGTTGCGGCAGAGTTTTTCGGTTTTCCCAGCAATTTGTTTGGACCATAATTTCGAATAAACTATCGACTAGAAAACTGTTACACTTGTTTTCGTTAGCATTCATTTTATCAGAGGCAACTTTAGGAGAGCAATGTATATTCCAATAAATGTTGTACTGCTCACTTCTTTAATGGAAGCCGACCCAAATAGTGGGCTGTTGTATTTAAGGCTTTTGGGGATAGTCAATGACTGTCTCCTGTATACTCCCTCGACAGGTCCTGAACTTGATGCACTCTTTTCGAACGGAAGACGGGGTCTTCTGTCAATACATGCTCGATTGGCTTTACGTATTGCCAATTAAGGTTACCATATAGCAGCTAGGAAATCCATTTGCTTATCACTGCTTTAAGGCCCGGAAAAAACGAGATGGCACTCTTTCTGACCAATGACAGTTCTTCCTGTAGATGTCGGACACTGTGGTCAGAAGCTAAGGCGTGGCTTCCATATTTTTCCTACCTGTGCTGTTAAAACTAATAAGACATATAACAAAAACATATAACAAAAAAAAATAAATTAAAATATATTTTTGTATTACCTATTTTATCATTATGAAATGTTTCTTCTCTCTACTTGGAACATGATTGGCTTCTGATTGGAATGGCGGGCGCAACTAATTTGTGTGGTTTTCCTTTCCCAATAGCAGTATATCACATAAATGTGAGCGTGTAATGAAACAATAGAATAGCATGCAGGATATTGCCAGATGAATCACCTATCGAACATTCTGCGAAGTCAAGATTCTAGCAAGATTAAATAGATATATTCAATAAGTTTTACTTTGGTTACGGTAAGGCAACATTCGTTTCAAAACTAAAGCATACTTTTCGGCTCCAGCAGCCTCATAGCTTTGTCTCATTTTATAAATGATTCACAATTCACAACTGGATTGCAAACATTATGCACGTCGAGTGCAACGTGACCAAGTCCGGAGCGGTCCCTCCGGTGGCAGACACTTTACATTTCCTGACTTTTGCCTGCCACTTCTAATTGCATTTTTACTTAGTGCAGGCGGTAAAGTTTGCGACGATTGCCACGCCCCTTTGGCCCAGTCCAGCAGCACGCGCAAAAGTTTAATTAAACGTGTTTGATTTATGACTTGTGAGGGGGCAGCACCCGCTGTGCCGCTTCTCCGGGCTGGGCTGAAGCGTAGCTCTGAGTGGGTGGCAACCGCAATTCCAATTCGAGAACCGAATGCGTTTATTTTGTTTGGAGTTTGATGCTTTCTGCTTCCTCCGTGCTGGCCATGAAAGCTAAGCACCTTTATGGCAGCTGCAGATGTGTGTTCGTGTGTGTGCTCGTCCCATATGATTTCCGTTCTCGTTTTGAAGCACCTCACAAACGTGTTGGGGCTGTGTGCGTGTGTGTGCTCAGGTGCCATAATGCGTTTATTGTTTTCATTGCCATTAAAGTTGCATTTTTTGGAGCTCGTCCCTCAACAAGTTAATCAATGTTATATCGGCCCCTAAATTGCTCAGAGAGCTACCCAATCTGGGTCGCAAATCCCTGTGGCTTATGCCTTAAATCAGGTACAGGCCACAGCACAAATCTCTTGCTCAAAATATTCCACGATAATCAACTTTGATAGGCCTCCAACTGTGGCATCGTGGCTAAAAAAAAGTGATTCAGAAAAGCGCAAGAAATCCGCAAAAACAAACTGAGTCCGCACAAAATGTATTCTCGGCTCTGCCCTGGCTGCAATAGCCAATTTCTTGGGCCGCCCTTCTTCCATATTTTTTATGGTCCTGCGTGCAAAATGAAAATGGAAAAAGTTTCGTGTTAAGGAAGTAATATTTTTCGATGAACTGGCGGATAATCGCTGCGTGCTACATTGCCCATTGGATGCTGGCTTAGGGGGCTTAGCTTTCGTGGTTGGCCCGACATCCCGACAAAAAAAAGCTTAATATAAAACCATGCCTCCTGATTAGCCTTCAATTAGGTGCGGCTCGCATGTGCTGGATTTCTATATCAAACAGATTTATTGTATGGCTTTTGCGCTACTCGCAATAGCTGACAATGAGCTGGGACACTATAAAAAATTAAGCTTGTCGGAAATCAGACAATTAAATGTGTACCGTCTTTTAGTTGATATCTTTTTAACAGTGGCTAATCAGTTGGCTTTAAAATACATTTTAAAAGGTCTTTGTCAAAATTCATCTAACAGGTACTTCATACTTTAAAGGGAAATCCACGCCGCCATGGTAAAGGTTTCGCTCTAAAAATGCATTTTCAAGGATCTATATGAAAAATCATTTGAGACGTGTTTCACAGAATCGAAGCTTCCTCGGTAGAAATGCGGTTCAATGATTTTTTGAGCGAAGTTTTAAGTTTTGTCCGATTGCAAAGTTCTACATGAGAGCTTAGTGAATACGTGTCTTGACAATTTGGAAATTTTCACCAGAACTGTACTGGAAAGCTAATATAAGAGCACAAACGTTTTACAATACTCGGTAGTTAACTAAATAAATAATTATAAAAAATATGTTAAATAAAAAAAAAATGTTTAGACACTTAAAATATATGTACAAATATATTGAATATTAGTAGATAGGAAAGATAAACCGATTCTGGTAGATCTGGATGGAGAAAAGAATTAAAGACCTTCTCACAGAAGAGAAGAATCTTTATCGCCAATAATCAATGATTGATGGAATTCCTTATCCAGTTTTTATATGATATACACACTACCATTTACTTTTAATTACATATAATACAATATTTTAATAGTATAAATAAACTGACACTGAATAACTTAGTTTTTTTTTTTATTCAACTGTTTCAGCAGAGCGCGGATTAACAAAAAAAAAGAACTAAAACCAATTCATGTTTAATCCGCATTCTGGGATTTTAGAGCAGAAATGGAATGCATGTTGCGCAAACTAAAAATGCAAATGTGAAAATGAAAACATTTATTGTGAATTCTTTTTGTACTAAATAAATTTCATATTTAACATGAGCAATTAATGTGTGGCAAAGCCGCAAATAAAACCGCTTAATTACGTGACTCTGACCAGAGCGGAGCGGCAGGACACGACAGCGACAATAAAAGCAGCGAGAATTTCAATTGGAAATTTGCATGACATGCAATGAAATGAAATAATAATATGGTTAATAAAGTCAGCCGCATCAGATTCGGATTCTGATTCGGACAGCAGACATCAGACAGCAGACACCATAGACCAGAGCCCGGTGCAGGGCTCGGAGCCAATTATCGCACTTATTTCGCTGCTAATTAAAATGCAATTATTTGCTTTAAACAACATAATCCCATTGACAGGCGTTTTATTTGCATATAGAACATGTATATAAATGAATCGATTGGTTTTCACGGACTTGCCCCCTCGACATCCATGCTGGCGTCCTCGTCGTCCTCGGCCGTAATGTGCAGCCGTGGCGCCACAAATCCGCCGCCGCCGACATTCCGTGAAGGGGCCGGTGAGCTAAGCTGCTGTCGATTTATAGTCGTCCCCGCTGGCGCCACATACTGACCCCCATTGGCGGCGACATTGCGCCCGGCCTCATCGACATACTCGCAAATGATCTGCCACAGGGACTGGCGATCTGTGGTGCCGCGCACGCGTGCCCGCAAATAGGCGGCCGTGGCAATCAGCGTGAAGTTAAGGATGCCCGCATTGAATATATGCAGCCAGCCATTCAGCTGCAGCTGACTGCTGGCCGCCTGCTGGAAGAGCTGCATGGGCAGCGGCACGGCGACGGGCATTGGGGCTATGGAGCGGGTCCTCTGCTGGCCATTGTGATCCCGCTTGGCGGGTAGCTTCAACGAGTGCACCACCAACGAGGGTGGCGATGCAGTCTCTGTGCCTGGCAGACAGAATGTGCTTCTAGCGTCAGTCGGAGTCGGTCGGCCAAAAGAAGCTTAGACTTACCCTCGCCCGCCTCGCGCGCCATGCGCTGATCGGCCCGCTTAACCCAGCCGCGCACTGTGGACTCCGGCACGCCCAGTTCCCGTGAGATGCCGGCCTTTGTTTCGCCATTGCGTATGCGCGCAATCGCACGCTCTTTGTCATCCATGGAGACCTGCACCCTGGGACGCTTGCCGCGGGGCACGGCAGTACGCTCCATGGCTGAAGACTACGGCAGAGAGGCAGGCAACAAGGATCTTCTTGTCTATGATTGAGTTTTATTTGGAGTTTCGTTTTATTTTATTCGCGTTTACAATTTTCAGAGAATTTGCTTTTTCACGCGCGCCGCTATCTGCGTCTGTTTTCCGAATCGGCAGTCGTAGATATTTGACAGGCGAGACCCTAGACAAGCGCTTTGGGCCAGCTGACATATAAATCGCTGTGGGTTCGTTTTCTTCGCGTTCGTTCGCATTTGCTTTCCTTTTGAGCTTTTTGTTTACTTCTCCTGCCTTGCGTCTTTGACAGTTGTCGCCCAGGGTCGCATCTGGTTGCGGTGCTGCCAACCTTTTCCGTGCCGCAAGCTCCATTTTCCTATTCCCATTCAAATTTACCGTCAGTTTTTCCATTGCGTTTATTTACGATATCCTCTGTGTTTCACTTTCAATTCTTACATTTAATTCTGACGTACATCTAAAATATGTGTTCTAATTTATTTTTCTCATTTCATTATTGTTGTGGGTAATCTCTCTTGTATCTTTTTTCTGGCACTGCAGCGGTATGCTTGGGAAAACGAACTACGAATCTAGCTTCTCAACTCTTAACCAAGTGCAGATAGAAGAAACTTTGGGTCTGCCTATAAATTTGTTTCTTATAGGGCTAGATTGTTGGGATACGGTTTATTAAGTTTCACCTTGTTAAGTTAATCTATTTAAAGATTATATGGCTTTTCATTATATTTTTCTGCAAGGGTAGAAGGTATTCGAGCATCGAGCGACAGGAAAATAATAAAATAAAATGATCAAGACTTTGGGTAATATCCTTAAGAGTATAGAGAATGCAAGGACAATGCTTATAACACAAGATTAGGAATTAATCACAACTTTATATTCGAATAAATCGGAAGATCAGTTAAATTTGCTTAAAAAATGTAGAAAAATTTGAATCGTGTGAAAAAATATGAAGCACATTTTTTATAGTTTAACTCTTCACGGACTGCACAAATGGAATAACTGAAATAATAAAATACATGGCCAATAGGGGAAACTCTTTGGATTTTGCATCTACTCGACCGCTACAATGCCTTTGCAACTCTGTCTTTGTAATACGACTTAAATATATGTAATACGACTTAGTTTCTAGAACCATTTCGGCTGAATTTTACAATTTCTTTTAGTATATTCGGAAATTTCAAAGGTTTTAATTATGGTATTTAATTGAATCCCTCAAAAGTTTGCCATTTCTTTCTGGACAATTTTGAACACCAATTAAAATGGATAGTTTTCTCCTTTTAAGTTTTTTTTTTTTGTTATGGTCTAGGTAAATCTATGTGCAAAAAATATATATGTATTGTATATCGTACATTATATACATATTTATTTAAGTATGCATTTACTTATGTACGCTTTGCTTTTCGATTGACAATTTGCCAATAATAATAATAATAAATTGTATTTTATTGATACATATGTATGTATGTATAATAACTAATAAAACCACCAACAATTTTTTATATGAATTTTCTTTTATCTGGTATTTCTTTGTTTTTGCATTTCATTTTTTTTTGTTTTTTGTTTTTTCTTTGTCATATTACTTGTCTACCTTAATTAATTTCTAGCTTCTCTTTAAACTATTCTCTCTTTATTTTTTTTTTTTAACAATTATCACGTGACAATTTTACGCTTAATTAATTTAATCAGGGCAGTTGATCATTTTTTCGTTTGTGTCATGTGTGTGTGTGTTTTGAAAACATTTATATGTTTTGAGCTTTTGTCGTATATAATTATTCAATTAATATTCAATAGCTGTCACGTAGAGTTCACGGTAGAATTTATAGATTTCAGCTTGTAAAACTACTTACATATACACATAAGTGTTCGCTATTAAGCATTGCGTTTATTCATAGAGGAATTAAGTGAAATCAAACTGAGAGAATAGTGCAAAGAACTGAGGCAGGCGAATACTGATGAATGGCAGTGTGAGCAAACATCATGCCGACAAGTATCAAACGAATATCTGGATCTTCAGCGAAGTTTGATTGGAATGCAAAATTAAATGCGTTCAGGTTCAGTATTATAAGCTATTTAATATTCTCTGAAATCAAAATCCATCTTTAACTCCCAGTTTCAAATGTATACCAAGTCCTTGAATAGAGCTTTGATACAAATTTCGACTGCACTTTGCAGAAAATTCAACCAAACCTGGCAGAGATGTGCATCTTAGTAATCCTCCTGCAAGTGTTGTAGTCCCTGCTGCTTCGGCGCCCCGCGGCACATGCGTCGCAAGATGGCAATCAGCAGAGCAAATACCGCACAGATGCCAAGCGTGATGAGTGCGAGCTTGCCATAGGGCAGCTCGCTGAGATCGCGTCGCAAGCAAATCTCTGGGGACTCATCGTGGAGGACGAGCTGGCGGTACTCGCCGGCGTGGTGTAGCAGGCCGAGCTGTTCCAGATTCCACTCAATGTGCCGCGTTAGTTGGGCCAACGTCGAGGTGTGCGTCACATTGGGACAGTTGGCGATGCCGTTGCAGAGCAGATGTCGTGGAATACAGACCTGGGTGTCGCCAGGACAGCGGAAGTCACAGCCGCCGTCCTGCAACAGAGACGCAGCCAGACTACCGTCGGGATTGCGGGGCAAGTGGAACAGCTCGGTCCAGACCAGTCGGAAGATGTTCTTGCCTGGCTGGCCGTCGCCCGTGTATTGAATGAGCACCGGCAGTGGCTCCTGATCTGCGCCCGTGGCGCCGAGCTCAGCTGTGGTCAGTATGGGCAGATCTCTGGCCAGCGAGATATTCTCTGGGCAAACCACGAAACGCGGCTCCAAGCGTCCGGCCAAATAAACCTCAATTTTGGCGCTTTCGCAGCTGCGCTCAGCAAACCGAGCCTTTTCCAGATTAAGCCACAAATCCCGCTGAGCAGCCACCTTCAGTTCCCAGATGCACTTCTCCCGGCGATAATGGTGCTCCGGTGGTGCCATAGGCCCGGCCACCATGGCCAGTGCCTTCTTGTAGGGAAAGACGAGTTCGCCATCAGGTGAGGGGCCCAAGGTGATGGGTCCACAAAGCGGACCATGCGCAAACTCATAGGTCGCTTCGAACAATGGATTGGGATTCTTAAAGTACGAGGTAATCGCATGCTGACCCTGCACAATCATCTCGAGATTCATTTGATCCGCCGAGGATATAACACGCACCGCCCTCGGTATGTTGTCGCAGAAGCAGGCCAAGTTGTTTTGGAACTTGTCGCGCTCCTCCCAGATAACCAGCTTGTCCACTCGCTCCTCGTGACAGCGCGTGCACGCGTTGCTGTTGTAAGGCAGCTCCTTGAAGGACACCGAGTTCACCTCGATAATTGCCCTGGCATAGAGTCGACGATCCGTCACAAACTTGTATTGGCAGCGCACATCGCTGCCGCCGGTTCGCTTGAAAATGAGCGAGTTGAGCGGAGAGCGCAGGCGTCCTCCGGGATGCTTCCACGCGTACATTATCTCGTCGCAGAGCGTGTTGGGCACCGGATCACCGAAGCGTGTGTTGTTGAAGAAGTCGTAGTGCGCCCAGTAATAGAGCGAGCTGCCGCTATAGCTGCCCGTCTTGGAGTCGAACTGAACGTACAGCGAGGGGCTGGTGCTCACAAAGTCCACCTTCTCCATGGGACGTGAGAAGGTGTCGCAGAAGGTTTTGATTATGCGCGCAGGATCCGCATGATCCGAATCGTATATAGTCAGCGACTCGCCGCAGTCTCCCTCGTACTTCAATATGGGCGATTCAATGCGATTGATGCGAAAACTGGAACGAAAAGAGCAGGGAGAACGCGTCAGAGTGGAGTGCAGGGAATATCTGACAGCCGACTCATAAAGTAAGCACCGCAAACAGCTGCAGCCCCAGACCAAAGGCCTTTGGCTCTTTGCCAACACAGCACCGAAATTCTGGGCAACATTTTCGACATATTCGAATCAGCCAGCCGCCCCACGCGCTGCTTCATGTGCCGCGTCCTTCTACAGTTTAATATAAATTCCGACTGGTAACAGGTAAAATCTCACTTTTTACTGCCACACGTAGCCGCCTCAGATTTGGCCGCTATGTGAGCTGCATTTCGTTGCACTGCAGTTTGGCAAAAATAAATGCAGATTGCTTTGCACAGGTATTTTTGGCTGGCACGTAGAAACTCACAAATTATTGAAGAAAATGCGAAATGCTACTCAGAAATAATAAATAGACTTGTGAAATTATTGAAGACGTCAACAATCAACGACCAACCACACACTCGTCCGAAAATCACAATACAAAATAAACCAAGTTCAATTCAAAATGTGTTTTATAACATTCTCAAATATATATTTTTGCTCTCCTGTTGGCCGTCTTGGCAGCAGTAGCTAACAGTAGCTGCTTAACAATTTTGAATATTTTTCGGCAAATTTTCAATGTTGCAAATTGCCTTTCAACCAAATTTGTTTTAATGCAAGGCTCAACCTGACCGAATCATATTTTGACAAGAAATCTCTGTCCTGAACTACTGACTGATTATTGATTGGCAGGAGCTGGATATCAAATGTCTTAACCTAATGTGAACGCTTAGACGGAGTTTTGGAAATGTGAAAACATGTCTTGCAATTCTTCTCTGAAAATTTCCGCTCAAGATCGTGTCGACCTACTTTTTAGCAAAATCTATCCTTTTTCCTTTGAATTGGATGAGCAGTGCAGGCGCTATTTTATTCGTTTAGTTTGGTTTTTAAATTTAAAGAATAAACTTGATATAAATAATTATCAGACCGGGCCATAGAGTTTTCCAAAACCAGGACTCTCGACCAGGAACATATTTGCAGTTAGCCTCGAATGTGTTGAGCTTTTTGTGTCTAGCTTTAGCTACAGCTATGGCCACCGCGAAAACTTTTCCAATTATCTGTTGGCAGCCGTCCAGCCGTCCAATGCACCTAGGATCCGGAGCACAAAAATAGTTTACGTAACCAACGCCAGAGCCATCCATCCCGCTAAGCAGATTTTGTACAATTACATTTGCGCTGGCCAGAAAATATGACATAATACAACATTTTATTAACCCGCACAAAGTTGGCAAATGTCAAAAGCGAGAAAAAAAAACAAATCACCATCATCAGCGGCGGGTCGGGTCCGGGACATGCGCCCCGTTTCGTACACAATTTCGTTTTCGTTTCGTATCGTTTTTTATTTGCCACATTAAGGTCTTTTTTTTATTTGCTCGTTCCTTTTGCTCTGCTACTTCTATTCATAATAGAGCAGAGTTACTATTTTGCCACCGTATTGCCCCCTTGCCCTTTCACTGACGCTGCAACAGTCGCTGTCCCTGCCCCACCCCCGGCCACTACACCCATCAGCCTCCTGCTCTAAACGTGCCCGTGCCGTTATTCACGTACGCGACGTCGAAAAGTAAGCCTGACGCCCTGCGGCATGTCCTCATAATCCGTTAGCAGCCTAGTTCTAGTTATGCTGACTCAGTAGGGAGTTTATTCAGCAGTACGACCAAAAAACAAAACGGCAAAAAAAAACGTGGTACGCCCCGCCCATAAAATATGCAATGCGGCAGCGGCAGCAGCAGTCGGACATTCTGACCGCCCACTCCTACTGCCCGCCCGCCCCCGCCCCCGCCCGGTTCGGTTGTCAACTGTTTGGGGAGCAACTGCTTAGTTATGTGCATATGGCAGTCAATTGGTGTCGTGACGTGTCGCGTCCTGTCGCGCGTCGTGTCCTGCTCAAGGCGCAGGACCTGTAAATTTGTATCCGCGATTGCAGCTTCTCTCTCGTGGAGCTCTATTCGATGCATGCGGACCATATGGAAACACAGCGTTAGACTTGAATTTGAATCGGTGTCAATTATAAATTGACTTTTTTAATTTAAACAAGCCAAAGTGCCATAACAAGGAGTCGACTTGGAGATACCCTAAACTTTCTTCTCCCAGTCGGATTAATAAAATTATAAAAAAAAAAACGTTGCTGAGTTTTATGAAATGAAAGACTTTAGATCTTCATAAAAAAACATTTAAATATTTATATGTTCATTGATTGGTGGTATTTCCCCCCCTTGCCCTATGCAAGATCTTTGCTTCAAATCTTAGACATCAGTTTTACAACCATTTCTTGCAGATGAATTGCAATTCAACCGTTTTAGCTGTACCTCACGCCTCAAGCGTTTTACATATGCGATGGATATCCCTGAAAAGTTTAAAGCCTTCCTTTAGTCCATTAGTCTTTCAGTAAGAAACAAAGTAAAGAAGTTAGTATGCAAAATCTGCAATGAGTGAAGATTCAAATGCAAGAGTTTAGAAACAGAGCTAAGCTTGTCGTCCTGTTCAAGAATATTCACACTCTCAGATAACAATCGCTTTTTGGTCAACTTCGCATTCGGTATAACTAATCCAAAAGTACACTTACAGGAATTAACAACAGCTGGCCACCAACGGGGGCAACTACTATCAAAACCCAAAACTTTGGGAAGGAACAAAAAAATCAGTAGATACTTCGTGTAGCAGAAAAAGGTGCAGGCATGACATGTTACTTAAATGAGCAAGTTTGTTGGAAACAATGTCGACAGTGTCTAGACTCCAGACATCAGGCAGCAGCGGAGGCAGCAGCAGAGCCAGAAGCAGAGACAGCAGCAGCAACAGTTAACGCAGCCAAGCAGAATCTGGTTCTGTAACTGAAGCTCTCAAGGGTTGCGAGCAGCGCTGCCAATTCAGCTATTTTCTAGCTAAGTTCTAGCTGTATTCAGATGCAATGTGCATGTGGCTGAAATTATGTATATTTTTATTTTAACTGGCTTAGCTATTTCTGGTATACGATCGAAACTACTTCACGGGTTGTACTTAAGCTCATATTAAGTGATCCTACGGCAAGTGTACTAAGGTAAATATTAAATGATTCGACTTGTCCCCAAAAAACACACAAATTAGCCAAATTAACTGTTCCGATTGCTTGCTTTATTTATTTTGTCAATTTAATTTAGCCATATTGAAGCTAGTTAATCTTTTGGGGCGGCAGTTGGCAACACTGATTGCGAGGCGAAATTGTTAGCTACAACAAGTGTAGGTAAAGGCAAACAGAGAATGGGATGAACTGTCAAGCGGGGCGTGCTGTGGCTCTGCGTGTTTCTGGAGTGGGGGGGAGGCGCGGTCTGTGTGGGCGTGCAATTGTTGTCATGGGCGTTGCAACAACTTGAGTGAAGTTGGCAGCGAGCAACAGCAACAAAAACAGCAAAGACTACCAAAGACAAAAACTTAACGGGCTAGTACGAAATTCTGCACAGCTCACGCAGTTCTCTATTGCTATTTTTTGTTTTTGTCTACTTTGAACTTTTTGGAGCGACTGCGAAGCTAGCTGATAACTAACGGTGCTTGCACGCACACACACACACACACAAAACACGGCTGCCACTTGTGAAACATATTCTGTACCAAGAATTCGTTGGACAAGTACCATCAAAGGTACAAAAATAAAGTTTACTCTTTGAATTTTTATGGGCATTTGTAATTAAAAATCAAAGCAAATAATTGGTACACACACCGAGGACAAACTACAATTTTGTAAAATAAAAGGTACACTGTACCATTACAAAAGTTTAGTTGGTACATTTCTATCACATGTGGCGTCCATACAAGCAAACATTAAGGAAACACAGACACACACACACACACATACAAATGCCTGTCTCTCTCTCTCGTGCCTCTCAGCTCGTCGCAGTCGCCAGTGTTGCGCTTTGTGCACTGTAATCACGCAATCATGTTGCCCACTTCTGAACTCTTAATGGCAATCGGTGTAAACGTGCGCACAAGTTCTCCGTTCGGTTGGGCTTTGGGTTTAGTTCTACTCGTTTTGTAGGTGGACATAAATATTTATCTTTTGGCAAAAACTTGTTTGATATTTTACTCCTCTATCCCCATCCATGTGCACAACTGCAAGCGCGGGTGTTTTATCTGTGTATGTGTGTGTATCTGTGTGTGTGTGTGTGTGTTTGTGCTTCTGAGTCTGATGTTGGCCATGCACATAGTTTTCTTTGCAGTTTTTAGCCAAAAACTTGGCAATGTTTTGCAACATTCTCTGCATAAATTATAAGGTTGCAACATGGTCAAATGTGCAGAAATCGTTGCCGTTACTCTGACAACTTCGGGACAATGTTGAGGTAATACTTTATGCTGCGGCAGATCACGACAAATAGCATTCCCGGATTTACAAGACTAGCATAAGCGAAACAATCTTTAAGGTACTTATGAACAAACATGAACAAACGTGAATTATAGTATTTATTTCTTGAAGAATATTTTTGGCAAAATGTTGAAAGGATATTGATAATTGTTTGTTTTTTTTTCCTGGAAAAAATATTTATGACTACAAAAAGTCTTCTCCGAGCCCATCAATTGATATAGCTATATGGACTTGTCTTTCTGTCTATTATAATGGAAGACAATGGGAGGTAGAGCCTTACCTTTTTATTCTTTGACGCTGGATTTTCCAAATAATAATAATCAATAATTTGTAATATACTATTTTAATCCAATTTTATCCAAAAACAAATCTATTTCCTATTGATTAGACACAAACTACTTGGGCAATGTCGTCCTCAATGCTTTCAACACATTTTAAAAAAACTGTTAAGTCAACTGCAAAATGTATCCTAAAATATCCGGTTTCAATAAGGTCAACAACCTATTCCAATTAAGTCCCTAAGATGGCAACGCTTTAGTAAATGAGAATTTGATAAGTTTTCAGAATCTATAGATATCCCGAGAATCATCTCGGGATAATCAACCCTTTTGCAATTTAAATGTTGTTTACTTCTGAGCACTTCTCGGTACACCCTTCGATGGCATCCAATTAAAGGAACCGAACCATCAGTGTCCTCAAAATGTCAGAGCTGGAAAACTTTGCCATCTTCTTGGCGACCGCCGCCCGATCCTACACGGAGGAGGAGGGCCAAAATGAAACTCGCAAAACCGCAGCACAATAAAATATTTCCCTACCCAAATGCATAGGCGCCTTGCATTCAGAATGGAGGGGGTTGGGGACTTTCAGTAAATGCAAACTCAAAATGCACGACCGAATGCGACACTTGGACAAAAGTTCAGAGAACGGATTCAGACACAAACAACGGCCCGGCGACGCCGACAAGGATAAGAAAGGCAGAGAGGGGGGTCGGGAAGCGACGGGGGCGCTGCACAAAGTAAAAAATATAAAGAACAACTTCAACTCGACACGTTAAATTAAAATGTCACATAAATCTTTGCGGCAAATTTCATTAAAATACGCTTACAGCATAGAACGCAGCGCCAAAATGAATTGAAGCTGGACTGGGACAAGGATTGTGAATGGGGCATGCCCCAAAAACCGCCAACAGGCGCCCACATAGCCGCAAAACTTTGCACTTTAAGTGAAATGTCGTCGACGTCTATGGATTTTAAACGGGAGCCTCTCGGACAACGCCTCTTCTCGGGGTATTCGCAATAAACTAAAGCTCGTTGGGGCATGTGGAGAACTAAACAAAGGGAACAGACAGTCCGACAAAGGGCGTAAACAGTGTTGGACAATACACTAATATGGCACTTGGAGGATGTTGACTTGCCTAAATCAGACCATGGATATGAATATTTTTTGTTAATTTTTCCTTTTTATCATGAAAAATAATTGTGATGTACGTATTGACGACTTATGATGGAAATATGGCAAATAATTCAAGTTCCTTAATTTTACAATTTTATGTATGCAATTAAATCAGAAAATATGCTTTTATGTCTACTGCACTCTACGATCATATTAGAGTAATGAAAGAAATGAGTTTCATATTTGAATTCTTACCTCGGGAAATACAGTCGCACAATTTCGCCGGGATGTCCTTTGATGTGATAGCTGCAGGAGGTGTTCGGTGGATACCAGTGTGCGATGCTGAGAAATATGCCCTCGCTGGCACTGCTGTCCTTCAGCGAATCGGAGCTGAGCAGCCAGTCGCAGACGCCGTGCTTTATACCCGCAGTCTCCACATGGCCTGGCCAGTTGCCAACATTGAAATGAAAGCCGGTATTGAGCAGCGGACCCGCCGGTGATGTTACAAACTCCACGTACATGTATTGTGAAGTGCCTGCGGACGGGAACGGGAACGGGAACGGGAACGCGGTTGAAAAGTGGACTCTGGCTATCGGGCAATCGCCATCGGCGTTGCCTTTGTACTTACCAATAATGCTGAATGGGAACTTGCCCAGACCGCAAAATTTGCCTATCAGCGGCGAATGCTCATCGCGTCCGTCATAAACGGCTAACCAATCGTAGGGGCAGTGCTCGTTACCAGACCCTATGGGCCTGATGGGGCAGGTCATCACGTTCTCGCATCTGTGAAGAGACCGCGAGTTGAATGAAACCAAAACTGATTAATGTGTCCGCTGATGAAGTGTTTGCACTATTCATTTAAAGAGTGTTCCCCAAACACCAAGAGTATAATCCTTTGATTCTTTGATGGATGCGCAAAAGGCCAAATTTAATTTTTCCCTTGACACAGACGTCAACTTAATGAAACCCAGCAATTAATGGATGCACCTCGCTAAATTCCAATTGCAGAGATGCGATGAAAAAATAAAAACAAGTAAGCATTTCGAAGTCGGGCGTATCCGACAGCGTAATCCAGCTCTAAGTAAATTTAGGTTTGCCACACCTCCATTTAAATTCCAAATTTCAAGTCTTTAGAGGGCCAAAATAAAAAATGAAGACGGACTTTGCAACCAACCAATATACCCTCTTCACTTTGTGAGCGAGTATAGAAAAGAGGACTGCAGAAAGCACAGCCTGAAACTGAATGAAAGACAGATTCCCGTGAAAGGCATAGAAAAGTTGGCGGAAAATGTGTATGTGAGACAGGGACGTGGCTTATGTTAGTTAAGCAAGTCTTGAGATCTTGCTAAGTGCCAATTAATTCACTTAGTTCCCGATTCACACACATTCACACACATACAGGTCAAACATTTTGATGGGTCAAACAACCCCTTGACCCCGATTAACTACGCCTCTGTCTATGACATTCATTTGCAGTTTGGCAGCGCACATAAAAAAAACGAGCGTAAAACATTCAAAGCGTCTGTTTTGAAGCATTTTCTAACTTTAAGTTCCGGACCACTGTTTGTTTTTTTTTTTGCGCTATCTTCTTGCTCAGGTAGAGCTCTGCGAAAGTGACCTTTGTGCAGCGATTCGCTCAGGTTTGGCCATTGACGAGGTCTGAAACCCGGATATTCCCCTTTCCAGCCATTTGTTGGAAATACAATTTGCCAGAAGGCGGAGAATTTCATGCCGATTCAAAAGGCAAACGAAATGCCTTTCACCTGAATGTGCGTGTGCACGTGTGTGTGTGTGTGTGTGTGTGTGTTTGTGTGAACTTTCTAATTGAAAGCTAACTTTGGCAATTACGCTCTGGACTTTAATCAAATGCGGGCCGAGAAATGGAAGCGGACCGTGCGACTCGAAATTGCAACAAAAATGCCAATTTAATTGACATTTTATTGAGCCTTTGACTGCTGGCCGAAAAGTTAAAGGGAAACTTTTTTCAAGAACTTTAGATCTATTCGTCGTATCTGTATCTATTAGCCAGGCAGTTGTTCGGTGCGCTATCGTTTCACTCAATTTAATCACTTTGTCAGCAAGTTTCCGATTCGTCTTTATGCTGTCTAGCTTTCGGGCAACCTAATCTAACTTATTGATAATAAATGCGTAGAGCAAAAAAGTTGATTATTTTTTCTTTTTCTATTTTTTTTTTATTTTTCGCAGCCAGCAGTCAACTTGGGGGCTGGCGAAAGTTTCGGCCAACAGACATATCAAAAATAACTGACTGGTAATAATTTCGGCATATTAAAAAACTTTTTTCTCGATGACTTTTGCATTTATTTCGCCTCGACTATGCCCAAAAAAAAAAAAAAAGAAAAACGAAATAAAGTTCAACTAAAGTTTGTTGTGTGTGTTTGTATGTTTGTAAGTTTGTGTCGGGCTTTGCCGAGAAAATGCTGCGCTAGCAAAATGTGTTCGGTGTTTGCTACGCAGAAATTAGAAAAATGTTTTGGAAAACTGGCAGCCAAACGAGCCTCGACATCGAAATAAACTGAACTGATTTATAAAGGAGGCAACGGCAAAGTTGCCGCTGACTTGGCACAACACATTCCCACACACGCACACACACACACACACTCGCACACACACGTGCATAATGTGAGTGGTCAGGTCAATGTTGCCCTGAGATTGAGCCTGGCATCGCAGGGCTGGGACTCGGAGTGTTTTATGAACTGGATTTGATGGAGCTTTGTGTAATGCTTAGATGGATTATGGTGATTGTTTGTAAATATTATCGCCCCGAGCGCATAATCAACCAAGTGCTGTTACTTAGACGTCTTGCCTAATCGGGTCAGGACACCATTTTTGATTGCCTTATTCTACAGAGTATATTTTCAGTTCTTGTTTCTGAGCAAGGTATATCGATAAAACTTTACTGCATGCAATAAATAACTTCTTGTATGACAAATTGTTGTTGTTTTGAATATATCTTCACCAACTTTACCACTCACTAATGCTTCTAATCTACGAGAAAAACTTATTTACCATCGGACTACTCAATAAGTGGCTACATGTCTGCAAAATCTTGGTATTAAAAGTGGGCATAAGAAGGGATTCTTCTTTTCATACCCTGTACACATTCAAAATGAGTCAAATGTGGTATATTGCTCTTGCGCATATTTATGTAACAGGCAGAGGACGGGCATGGCCGAACTCATAATCTATTTAAACTCTTGATAAGCACTGAATCGTTTTAGCCAAATCGAGGAAAGAATATATTCTTCTTTTTTAACATAACTCAAAAACTAAGAGGAATTTAAAAGAAAAAATTTATATTAAGCCTCATGGATTTCATCCTTCATGCTATATAAACATTAAAGTTATTTGAGTTGAATTCTTCCCCGAGGAATGCCTCTTGCCTAGTTATTCTCCCATATGCAAATATTCTATTCTATTTATATACAATGTGTAGAATGTTTGCCTAACTTGTGGTAATCAAAACTTGTCTCAGTCAGCAGTCTTTTTGTAATCTCTAATTAATACCCTTGGCAACAAACACAGCCTTTAACTTTTGGATTAGTTTACCAAGTTCTTTGACTAAATGTTTCAAGCAATCTCCCCGCACCCCCAATCCCAATCCAGGCAAATGCAAACAGCCCAAGCTAAACATCATTAATGGAATTTCACCATTGAAACCCTTTCCGAAAAACATTCGATTAACTTGCCTCTCCCATCACACTCGGCGATTAGCTCGATGGCAGCGTTTTTGTTTGACTAATCCTTTGCGGACCGATCCCCACTCGGCCCCGCTGCTGACCCCTTTCTCGAACCGTTTTATCGACCGGGAGTAACTTAGACTTGCAAATTAATACGCACTTAAAGCGGATTTCCAACTAGTCCAAAAGGGAACATTCGTCCTTCCGTCCTCCTGTTACCTGCCCGCAGCCCAATCCCAGCTGCCAGATCCACACAAGCGAGCGTTTCCGGCTCCTCGCGTTTTCGCTGTCAAAGTTGGCACTTTGACATGCCTCGTGTCTGGCAGGACTTTTCAGCGCTCAAAAGGTAAATATTCAAATTGAATCTATAAAAATAAATTGAATGTTGCTTATCTAATTTCGAACGGGAGGAACCAGTTGATGTGCACGTGCGAGTCCTGCAGGGCGAAAGACATTCGCCTGAAATATGCTGACTGGCATTTGCACTCCAAACAGCTTTAAGATACTTAGACACTTCTGCTGGCCATTTGCAAAGTGCCTCCGCCGAGAAGCGGGGCTAAAGTTGGCATTCGAATCCAACTTGGAGCTGCACCCCCGCAATGATAAGGCAGAAAACGGCGGCGGGATATTTAATGACTGGCCGCAGCGTTTGCGAAAGGTCAGTGAATGGCAAATGTAAATTGTATTTGCCAGCAGTCAGTCAGTCAGGTGAGTTGGGCAGAAGGGTAGGCTGGGCTTTGCACAACCCTTAGCCACATAAAATATTTAAGTTCTGATTTAAGCCCAAAACACAGCTGGCATTTTGCCTGTGTCCCCACAGAGCTGTTAATACTCGGGAGAGACTTCAGTTCCATGGAATGCTTGTTTTGCATAAGCAAACTTATCCAAAGGCATGAAACGATTAAATAAAAGCTCAAAACAGCAGCCCATTAAAACTGACTCAGACGGGTATATTAGATAGGTGCAAATCTATGTGGCGGAAGGAGGAGGGCATCTCTGACACATGTCAATCTGTATATCGGACCACCTGACCGCCCACCTGTCCGCACACCGGTAACTTGAAACGAAGCACAAATATGCTTCAGTTTCAAAAACAAGACAAGTTTGTCGCTATTTTTATCACATAATTTCATATCTCAGACAGCTTGGAATATAATAAAATAATAAAATTATATAGCTAGAATGTATGCATATCTTCGGATCTCCTTTGAATTAAGACCGTTTTGCAAATATGTGCGAGTTCTCTTGGACAAATTCTACCTATACAGCAATATAGTATTGTAGAGCAGCATAGTTAGTTGACTTAGTAAAAAGTTCTTTTAACAAGAACTTACTTTTTGACTGTATATCGTTTCTATATATGGCTACATTACTTCGCTTGTTGATGCTGATCAAAAATGCAAGTATAATAGTATAAAGGGTGGGCGATATCTTCTTCCATGCTTTACACATCTTATGACAAAATTATTATACCCCTTACAAGGGTAAGCATATAAGCTTTTTTTAAGGCAATCCCTTGCATTTTGGTATATACCCAAGGAAACTAAGGGCTTAGCGAATAAATGTTTTACTTTTAACGCTTTGAGTTTTACGAAGTCATTTAAAAAGGTACTTTAAATGGCAAAAGAATAGGTAAGCTCATTGAATTCCTTGCAACTATTATGTAAAAAAAAAACTAACAGAATTTGAATTTCTTTGATTTTTGCTTTGTTTTTTCTTGCCTTTTATTCTGGGCATATTTTATACATGCACACACACACACACACAATGCAGTAATAGATATGCTTGAAAAACTATTGCATTATTTATCACAAAAATAATTTAATTTGTTGGTCCTTAAAATTTCTGCAAAAATTCTATATTGCAATTTAACGTGTTTTCTCTGTTGCGAAAATCCATGCGGATTTCACGGCATTTTTATTGCTCGACCGATTTGAGATCCGCATCGCTGCTCCATCATTCGCCTTGATAGAGCATTAAAGTAAGTAACGAGTCAACCAATCCGACATTTTCATTATTTCAGCATTAATAATACAAAATCAGCAATGGCTGTTTTGAGCGCTGCATCGCACCCCAAAAATCACTCAAAACGTAATCCCTTAGCCAATTTCGAATGCAGACAGAAAAGGTGGCAGAGATGGCAGAAGATGGTGTTCGTGGCTGGGGATTGCGATTCGGCTTGGGACTGGGACTGGGACTGGGACTGGGTGTGTGACATGTCGCCAGCGTTTTCCACGAAATCGGTGCCAATTTTTGCAGAGCGCTCTGTCAAATTGTCATTGTCAGCATGCCAAATGCATTACAGCAACTGCAACAGCAGGCTACACGTAATGCTGACTGCTAGCCAATGGCAAAAAAAATAAAAAAAAAAAAAAAAATGGAAGGAAAAATGGTTAAAATTTGGAACGGCAGTCGATGTCGTTGTGCCAAAATGACAAATTACAGGGTGTTAACTTGGCGCTAATTTCTCTCGGCAATTGGCATTTGCATATATTCCAGACATATATGTATAGCTGTGTCTGTGTGCGTGTGTGTGTGTGTGTGTGGATCCTTGCGATTATCTGTCTGTGGCATATCTGAGCTGCTCGTTAGCTTACCTCTGGCCATCGACCGCAAACTGTTCGTTCTGCAGATATAATTTGATGTACGGCTGTCGCGTGTGCAATTTATAGCGACAGTTGAGGGCCCGGGGATAGAGGCCCGGATATGCCGGGGACTGCACGTAGCAGGTTTGCAGGCGACAATCCCGATATTCGCGTTCGCAGTAGGATCTGTGGATAGATAATTGTAATTAAATGCAATTAGTTTCATATATATTTAAGTAGTTTGTGTCTGCCCGCGCAGCCAATAAATGTCGCCAATTTTTGGGCCTGAAGTCTCGTGCACTCGCCAGCGTCTCACAATGCTCGAGAGCTTTTCCACTTGGGCACAAATCCAACAAATTAATCGCTGGAATTGCCTCGCAGGCAGCGAATAGAAACAACAAAAGCAGAAAATTGTGCTCACTGATTTGGAAATTCTTGTGCTTCTCCTTGGGAAAACCTTGTAAAATTGTTGTCGAATTACAAGAACAACTGTAAAGTGTAAGGAGAGCCGTGCGTATAATTTTCAATTTGTTCAAGTCAAACAAACGCATTGCCAGGGTTGTCAGCATTGTCAGGGCTGTCCCGGCTTGCCAAATCACACGGCTAGAAGCTGCATAAATATGATTACCATTTACCATTTTATTTGCACTCGAAATTTATATTTTTTTCTGTTCTTCGAAATTTGCCTTTCATTTCGGTTCCTTTGACTTTCGATGGATTTCTACACCCTGTGCCCATTAAAATGGCAAAAACGGGCATATCCCATAAAGACCTTATACCCTAGACCGTGCCTACAAATTGTTCTTTGATTGATTTGCCCCGAGGCTATGACAATGTAGGAGCAATGTTTATTTTTGTTCATTCTAGATTTTTCTACAGGGTATCTGCTGGATGAGCACTCTTGCATAAGATCATTTATACTTGTTCAGATTGGGTTCGTCTCGCTCGGTGTCGATGTCGATGCGCGTGACCCCAAATTAGCATAAAAATCATATTGGCCATGTGGGCGCTGGGTCTGTGGCTCGGGAATTGCAGAAATCTTATGGGTGGGTTTGAGTTTGAAATAAGGCGGTTTTCGATGAAATGAGACCTTAAAATGCGGCATTGTGATTGTGCGCAAAGAAGGGAGGAGGGGGGCTAGTTAAAACTGAATATATGGTTGAGAGGAAACAAGATATTTTTCTTCTTTTTTGAAAGCAACTGGAATTCCTTAAATGAAATTAGATAAAAGACACGAAATCTATTCAACATTTTTCAGTTTGTTATGGGTTATTTTCATGACTATTTTCTGTATAATCGTATTTTCTGTATAATCGTATTGCCAAATGTCCTTGTCATCTGTAAACAGCCCCGATTCCTAAATAGAAATGTGCATATCGTAAAAGTTTGAAATCATCTAGAAGTGACAGACAAGCTAGTATAAATCCTAAAGTGCCGATGATCCCAACCCAAACCCAAGCCCAATCCAACCCAGCCCGAATTGCGCAACCTTTAGACCGATGCGAAGCAATGCTTAAAACTTGCAACTTATTTTATTAAGATAAAAGTTAGAGGACTTAGTAAAAAGAGAGGGAAAATCAAATGAAATTTAATGTCTGCAAAGTTTTTGGGATAACTGAATGCTCGTTTTGGCCCATGGAAGCGCCTGCTGTCTCAATGTGTCTCTCGAACATTTTTCGCGAGTTTATGTTGCCGCAGTGCTCCGCCCGCTGCTCCGCCCATTTCTCCAACTGCTCTTCCCGCTCCATTCTCTAGCTGGCAAATTGTAATTCAATTTTATGCGACCTTCTGTTACCGCATTGCCAGCCATGCTCCACTCCCGATTACAGGCCCCGCCTGCCGCTCTCGTTCGCATATGATTATGAAATGTTCTCCTCGTGGGGCAGTTCCAGCAATTGTAAGAGACAACCGTCTGTGCGTCCGGGTCCCCTCAAAAACCACTCAAGTTGCGTGCAACATAATAAAATTAAATTAACGCATCGCTGGCTACAAAGTAGTAACTGTCAGTTGTCAGTTGCCACGCCTCCAGCCCCCTCCCTGAGCCAAGCCCCACAGGATGGCCCATAAAAGTGGCACAAAGGCGCTAAACATTATCGATAAGCTCGGGCACAGCGGCCAGTACATCCACGCTCACTCTCTCTCTCTCTCTCTCTCTCTCTCTCACTCTCTGTTAGTCCATCTTTTTGTAGATTACGTATACGCACCCTTGCACAACTTCGCCACGTCGATTTGGATATAATTCCGGATGCTGGCCATAGCGTAAATAGACTTCGGTTTGCTGTTCGGCGCGTGAATCGAATGTGAAGTAGGTCTGCAAAGAGAATAGAACACAAAAACGGCACTAAGTGAGTTGAAATTCATGTATTGTTAGCGGCTGCTGCTGCTGCTGTTTTTTGTTTTCTGTGTGGCTACGCAAATCACGTATACGCACTGTTGCCCTAGTCAGCTGCTAAGCTGCTTGCCATTAGTGGCCATAGTCCTCACTGATGAATTTTGTCAATTTACCGCACCCTGCCAGCATTTCACCACGCAAGTTAGCACACACAAGCATCTGCAGCATTATTTGATGTGCTCTGAGTTGTCCCGCTCAGGTGACATGCGAGCCTTGCTTTTAAGTGTTCGCCGTTGTCGTTGTCTATGCGGCTGTTTGCTTAACGCGATGCGTTTTACCGGTTGTCGCTCTGGTCTGTTTCCATTCTTGCCCTCGTCTAGCTGTGTTCTCATCAGCACTAATGACCTGGCGTAGGCCTTCCGCCTAAGCACAGACCCAGTGGGAAATCGCAGTCGAACAGCTGGGCAGAACAAATGCTAAGTCATCAATTTGAATTTATTGCGAACAGCTAGCTCTTCAAACCTTCTTCCAATGCAATCGGACGCAATTGATATTAAATCATTCACAGACTATAAAATGGCTTAGGCATGGTCTAAATCGTTAGAGCTAGGTAGCTGAGGTTGTCTTTTGGATCGACAAAGAGGTCTAATACATTTTCTAACTTTTTCATTATTCGATTATGACAAATTAATCAAACTATAACTCGAACCATCTTGATCTCACTTCTATTATAAAACCGATAATAGGTCGAATGTGCATAGACATATAAATCATGATTCATCTTTAAATTAATATAATATAGTCATGATTTTGACTCTTTGATGACTCATTGTTATTATCATAAAGAACGTCATTATTCCGAAACTATACCCCAAATATGTGGTACTTTACCAAGCGCTGGATTCACCAGCTGAAACTACTTGGAACACTGGGACGGATTTCCAGCGGGCTCTCCTCAGTGCAGAGCGTAATGCACATGTCAATATTAAATGCGTTACCGGCGTCAATGACGTTAGCGCCACTTAACGATGTGAACAATGGCAGGCAGGTGGACGGGAAGGGAGACAGGTGTGGAGCAGTCAGACAGACGGACGGACAGACAAGCGTCCTAGTCGGAGGTAGCAACAGGAGCTACGTGCACGGTCACGCCCCGCTGTGGCAAATGGGCGGAGCCCATTTCCCAACTCATATTTGCCGCATTATGCGACTTTAAATGCATTGAATATTTTTGAACGGCGGCGCAGCTGCAGTTGTGGATGTGGATGCGGATTGCGGATGCAATGTAGCGTGGCTAGAATTATCGCCATGGCAGCGCCGGATTGTCAACAATGCTGCGACCCGACCCAATGATCCCGACCCGTTTGCCCAGCTCTCCCTTTGATAACGTGGCAAATTCGTGCTCGAATAAATTAAAAATCAGTCAGAATTCGTTTGTGTTTTGGGCTTTGTTTCTCCTGTCGCGGATGTCGCTTGTGTTGCAATTTGCGAAAATTATTTTTGATTTATTCGCCACGCATTTATGTTAATGCAAAATTGTTTTGTTTTATTTTATTTTTTTTTTTTGCTTGCAACATGCAACGCAGCTCCTGGCTGCTTCTGCTCATTAAATTGTGTACGTGGCAATGTTATTACATGCCAGCGCTCTATTATTTTTATTTATTATAAAGGATGATACCCAAGCTGGCATTTTTTCATGCGTTCAACGCATTTTCCAGAGCGCTCGCGCAAAATAAGTGGCAAAAATTGAGGCGGCGACTAAGAAAAGTCGGAAAACTTGCCGTGGCAAAAACAAAGCGATCCCTCCTCTCTCCCTCCTTCCCATGCCGTTAAGGAAACTCCTGAACTGTCTAGCAGCAGCCAACTTCAGCCAGCGTGCGGGGCGAGTTTTCATAAATATTTATGACTCCATTAAGGTGTGCATAAGACACTCTGGAGGGCGAGCTGCAGCAGCAGCAGCCGCCGTAGCTCTGCACCTGAGAGTCTGTCTCCTACATAGAGCACTCGTTCATGGCGTTAGTTTTTGTTTTTTGTGTGTGCCATAAAGTACTGCGTGGGTTGTTGTGTTTGTGGCAAGCTGCGGCATGAAGTTAATCCGTGCAGGCAAAAACGATGCAATAACAGAGCTTACCATCGGCAACTGCCGCAGGACATTCAAGTCGGATTAAGCTGCTGATCTGCAGATCTCTTCTGATTAGGCCAATTATTGAATGATTAAATCGAATATGCAGTTGGGATATTTATAAAAACTCTCAATGAACTAGCTCATGAACTGGCTCTATGGCATCGATTGTCAAATACACAACAAACAGCAAATGTTAAAGTTCAAAATGAACTATTTTAAAATATTTTGCACAGATACTGGATGCTACTAGGATACAGTCAATTTAGTTGGTTAAGAATATAAATAATATAAAGCTTAAGTGAACTAGCTTATAAGACTATAATGAATGTCAAAGCTCAGTAATAAATTTAACTGCAAGAGTGCATGTTAAAAATGAACTAGTTCACACCTTTTGGTCTAGCTATCAATCTTGAAAGGAACCAGCTCATAAGGGAAGATTTTCGAACCAATAACTCAATAATCTTTCCTACAACCAAAGCTTAACTTCAAAATAAACATTCTTATGAATTTAGGGTAAATTGTTAACTCAAGGCTTAGTTCGTTTTTGAACTTAATATTTCATGTTTTTTATATTCTATATAATTTCTAATTATATGATCGTTTATGCTAACAGAAATTCTGCGAGATTATAGCACATCTCTTATTCTATTTAAACTCCTGCTGTCACATAACGATCTTATCTTTCATTTTATAAATGCAAATGCCGCATCAAGCACACAGAAGCGCATCTGACAAAAAATCAGAGAAAGAGCACAACAACAACAAGGTTCCTCCTTACGACGAGGTGGGGTGGGCGGCATCCATGCAGCTAAATAGAATTCAAGTTGTGAAAAGCTTTTGCCATATAAAACTGCAAGCGGCAACGAGTCGCCAGCCCACTGGCTGGAGGGATGCCAGAGGGATGCGGGGAGACAGAAGACAGAAGGCGCGCAGACGACAGCCAGGGGAGAACGCCCATGTCCACGCCCCCGCAGAGGTTCGACTGAATAATGCATGCAAAATTATATATGTGTAAGCATATAGCATATATATACAATATATATATATATATATATATATATATATATATGTGTGTGTGTGCTAGCGATATACCATATGAAAAAACAAGTGCCAAAGTGAGTTGCATAGACGCAGCCAAGCAGATAGAGCAACATGGGTCACAGCCAAAGCAAGCAAACAAAAACAAAGCAGGGGGCTGAGAAAAAAGAAATAAAAAAATGACAAAATAAAACCCGTTACAATCACATAAGCAGTCTGACTGACTGACTTGCAGACACCCTGTTCTCTGTCTTAAATCGTTTCTTAGCTTAACAAATACAAATAATAATATTTATTTGTGTTTGTCAATATGTGCACGCATTGTGCACCCCAAAAGATTAGGCTTAATTGTTGCAGTTTATTGATTAGCGGTTATTTTCCATGTACACAAATGGTTAACAATATGTAAATACAATCGAACAGATTGCGTGTTGATTAAGCTTTTATTCAAGCGGCTATTACCCGAATTGTTGACATAATTTTTCACGTCCTTGGCATAGTTCTGATAAAGCTGTACCCACGTCTAAAATTATATTTTCATTGGATTGTTTTGAAAATCTAGGATTAAAAAAAAAAGTTCCTAAGGTAATAAGATAAAAATTCCATAGGATTTTAACCATGTGACTATTTAGGAATGCAAAAGAAGAAGTAGAATAAGTCGTTACGATTGCCTACGGCTGGGTACTGGGTATCTCTTGGTCAGGCAGCATCATTGAGTTCACTCTTGTTTTAAAGCAGCAAATGAAGACGACGACAGCAAAAACTTGGCTGCTGTAATATTTTCTTTAAATTATGTGATAAATATAAATATACACGAGCAGAAAATAGGACGTCTGCGAGGACATGGATAGACACGAGGAGTCTACGTGACACATGTGACATGCCGACCGGGTGAAAGAGCATGGAGCTGTGGTTTATTAGTGTAAGTGCGTTGGCGTCTGCAAGTTGGAGTCGTCAGAAGCAAGAGAACAGAGACTTTTTACAGTAATTGGAAGTTCCCGGAGTTTGTTATAGATGAAGCTGAGCTTCAGTTGCCCAGGTGTTGAGTAACTCTACCTTTTAATGCCAAAACGTGTTGCAAGGTGTTGGGCTGTAAATGCAAATTCAAAATAGGAGGGGCTTATTTAAAGCAGTTTTTGCTTTTAAGAATACCAAAAGTTGCAAAAGCTAAGAATAAAAAGTAGCATAACATAATTATGTACAAGCCCTATAACATAATGTCAATGAGTTAACATGATCTGACTTAACATATGGAACAACGCCTGAAGCAATCATTCTTCACGTTCGTGTTAAGCTCCCATTAAATGGGGCAGTTCGTGTTATAGGCATTTTAGATATTTTAAAGGAACTATTGTTTAGAATGAACATATTATGGCTATTCAATATTATTCCTACAGTGACTCTCCTCAAGTTCAAGTTCTTTTCGATATATAGGGAATCTATAAAAAGCAGCTTTGTGAATATATAAAATATATATTTTGTAACCGTTTTATTCGATATTTCAGTATTGTAAAAATTTCGCAAAAATGTAAAAAAAGAGTTTCGAAAATAAGTTTATAATATTACTGACATATTACTGCTGATGGTTTTCCAATTTAGAAACCCATCATTGAAATAATTTTAGCCCCGAGTTAAAAGAATACGATTTCAAATTTCACCACGTAAATGGCAGGTCGCGATCCAACTCACCTGATCTGTAAAGTTGTCCGTGTGGAAGAGCACCTTTACATAACTCGTTTCGCTGATGAATGTCTGGGGCTGCTCGGCTTCGCCACAGAACATGCCTGGCTCCCGGCGATTGGATACGTCTGTTTTGGCATTGCCATCAACAATCTGCAACAACAACAACAACAACAGCAACAATAATGTCATACGAAGTCACATCAAATGATAAGCAAGGACAACGGGCGCCGCAAACTATGCGAGCCACATAAATTGCTAGCGCGAATTGGATTGGATGCGAGTCCTGGCCCATAAAGCTGTCAGCCGGCGCATACGCGGGAATTACGTGGACACATATGTCATCATTTAGGCGAGGCGATGTTATAAATTAGATTTGATTGCCACGGCGCCATAAATCAGAAACGCCAACTGTGGCCTCCGGCGAGCTTAATCGAGTACTCACCTGCAGGTAGCCACCTTCGCAGTGGGTGGCATTGAGCAGCTGGCCCACTTTGAACTTCTTAAAGCGCAGCCGGAGCACGAAGTCGCGCGGAGCGCCTTTTAGGGTGCGAAAACGATACCAGCAGGTGAGCGGTCGTCCCAGATTCTGATTGCTGACCTCCGGCGAGCTGATGTCCTCGAATATGTCCACCGTTTTATTGCAGTGATCCTTGGATATGTCCGAGGAGCTGCCACCGCCGCCGTTGCCACCGCCGCCGCCGCCGCTGCCACTGCCACCTGAAAGTTGGCGAGCAAAAAATAACCAAGTCAGCTTATTAAGAGCCAGCAGAGAACATGGCACTGCCGCAACCGTTGAAATTCATTGTGCCTAATTTATACAGCGAATGCATAAATGACAAAGGGACATTGTGCTGAATTTGTAATTCCAGTCTGGCTGCCGCCCCCAAATGCAAAAGACGCACTCCTCCTCAACGTCCCTGACTGTGACAAAGGCCATGGCGGGACCTGCGTCTCGCCCACATCCACATTCATCCTTGCCTCCTGCCTCCTGCCTCCTGCCTGCTGCCTCCTGCCCTATTCATGCCCCACAGCGCCACTTCAGCAGTCAACCCGCGTAAAATTTTGAGCACTGAGTCGACTCAAGTCGTGTCGGTCGTGTCGTGTCGGGGAGTTTGTGTTTGTTGTTTTGAATGGTTTCTTCAGAAATTGCTCAGCCAGGCGAATTGTAAGTTTGTTCCAGCTCAGGATGTTGACTGAATGGCAAGCAAAATTTCTATAGTTTATTGCTCAACTATGAAATACTGCTAGCAAGAAATTATTTAGATTCCTTATGGGCTCACAATTTAAGCAAATAACTGTTATTACATGGTTCAACTGATCTCAAAGTTCAGAAACCTTCTCGCTATGCGAAGTATTCGAAAACAATAAAATGATTTTTTCGAAACCATTCCAAGTACTTGCATAAGGGGATAAGAACTTTACTTTACTTTTAATATTGCAGATAGTATGGGAATATAAAATATACAAGATTTATAATCAAATATTCCAGTAAATTTTTTATATATATGCAGGATTCGGGAGAGTTTCAGAAGAGCAAGAAAAAGGCTATCAGAATATCAGTCGATGCCGAAATCTCTCAGGCTACGCACGCATAGGTTTCTTATCAATGTTTTACATTTAATTTAAATTACAGATAAACTTCACCTAGTATTATTAACTACATCTAAAATATATTTGTATCTGTATTCGAAATCTCGCATAATTTTCTGTCGGCATCTGTTTGAGGGCAAGCTAGTTTTATAACTTTACCTGATAAAAAGACGATTTCCGAATTCCAATTTAAAAATCTATTAATTATCGCAAAGCTATCACAAAATCATGAATGTCTGCGGTGCGTAACCCCAGGGTATGTCTTTATTTTGTCGTCATTGAATTTGTTAATCATGAGGTTCTTGTCGCCGGAATTTCTGTTTTGTCTTTAGACACAAACAAAGTTGCTACGTGACCAACATTTTTGTCCTCTCAGGCAATTCCTTTGATTGCTCGGCTTTGCATCGCAATGTCTTTCTTTTGCGGCATCGCTGATTTTGGGCCAGGCTTGAAATTAGTGCTGATTTGTGGTCGCCGCCAACTGGCAGCTTCTAGTTAAATTATGAATGCCAATCGTGTTCTTACTGCTTTGCTGGAGTGCGAAATTCTTGGACTCTCTGCCCAGACTAAGTACCGGAGTTGAACGCTGAGATGAAAACTCCGGTAAGCGCTTAATATGGCTTCACATAATTATAAAAATTTCCAAAATGTTACAAATTTTAAACATACTCCCTTAAGCTGGCATTTACACGTGTGAATATATAATATATATATATATAATAAAAAGTTGTCCCCCTCGATTGTTCCCGCACAACTCTTCCAAAACCTTAATGCCTTTAAGCACTTTTGTCCCAATCAAATCGGAGTTCTATAATGTCTTCTAACTTTTGAAATCATAATTGCTAGGAAGTATAGTTTTTATACTTTTAAGGGATTCTTCTTATCTTCGAGCTGTGTTTTAATAGGGTAGAGTTAGTGAAAATACTTGTAAAGGCCATTGCGTTCTATCAGTTAATCTGTTTCAAAGTTATCCTTTGTTTGTATCCCTTATATCCTTTTGAGCGAGCCTTTCACAACTGACACTTAACTTGAACTAACGTAAACACATTATCTCATTATAACTCATCCAGATTTAATACTGTTTACCAGCTTTGGCTTCAAAGCAACGTCTTAAACTTAATTTTAGGAATTACAACCCCTTCAATAAAATCTACAACTTAATCAGCGAAGGCAACACGAGCGCTGGCTTTTTAGAAACCACTCAGACATCAAAGGATTAATGAAATGTAATATATGCTTTAATTTAGCTTAAGGACACGCTAAGCCAGCCACAGAGAGATAGATTTCAAAGAGCTGGGCGAATCGATACACGCGCGAGCTCGTCAAAATTTGACAAACGCAATGCGCTTAGCTGCAGGCGCTTGCCCCCGCCCCACAGAACCGCCCAACCGCCAAACCACAAGCCCCTCGCTCAACGTCCACCCACGTAAACCACGAACACAGCACGCGCTGAAACAGAGCAGGGACCCAGCTCCCCCAGCCCAATCTTGCACGTCTTCCACTTTCTGGCAGTGGATTCCGCATCTCCTGAAAATGGCTGGCACTTTAAGGGTGCGGGTGCCCGAGTCGACAATGAGGGCAGCGTACAATAAATCTGTTTAATGTATCAGCGTTTTTTTTTTTTTCTCTGAAAGCAGCCAAGTAACGTCCTTGCGTCCATTTGGCTTGCTGTCAAAAGATATACAATACAAGGCCTGCTTTAGTTAGGTAATTAGTGGGCCACGAGAAATCTTCAAATTTGCTACTTGCATTGAGAAATACTGGAAATGAATGGCAGTGACAGCTGCGAAGGAATTTCATAAATGTGCTCGACATTAAAGATTCCATAGAACTTACTCTAGTCGAGAGTATGCGACTAGCAAATGCCCTGCAGCCAACTGTGCTAATGATGTGCTTAAGGATTTAACTCATTGACACTTTCTTCACCAATATGTCCTTTTTTACGTCCACATATATATGTTACATATATATTCACTGTCCAGCCAATGGCATCAATCACTCGACCAAAGCCTCTGCTCATCCATAGCCAAAGATCGTGATTTACACACTACTTCAAGGGCCAGACGGCAATCAACTGGTACGAGTCACATGTAAAGCCTTCGCTTTCTGTGTCTGTTGCATATTTTTTGCCTGAGAGTTCACGATACTGTCGTCACATGCGATACGCCCACCAAACGGGTTGGAAGTTACAAGCATAGGACTCGAGGAGAGCTCTACTAACGAGTGCCCGACTAGGAGACATCCTAACTAGGAGGAGACAGCCTGCCGTTACAAGCATTCAAGTCACTTTTATAAACACACAATCACAAACGTTCACATACTTGCAAAAAAAACCAGTATACCCTTTCTACAGTTTCGAATGCGTGAGCGCATAAAGGCACTACTCGAAGCCCAGAACCAATTCTAGCCCTCCTTTCGTCTGACTGTCTCGCCCTGCTCATCGATTAGATGCGCTACGTTAGCTTCAAATGGCAAACAATTGGAGCGACAACTATCGTAGAACCAGCAGCAGACCAGGCAGCCCAGACACGTCATACTTTAAAGATTACTTGACCTGGCGGCGCACGGAAAACAACAGGAGAACTGGAGAAGCGGAGGTGGTCGGGATGGGGCTGGGACTAGGGGGTAAATGTCAAAGTCAAGTAGAAAAATTGTAAAGTCGGCTTGCCTTTTGCACATTTTTCACAGAGTCTGAAAACAGCCAAGGACAGTTACGGGTAGATGGCTCCGGTCCGCCCGCCCGTATTCCACATGTTGATATATTGTCAACAGAAGCATGTCGCATTTGTCTCGGCTTTGCTCGGCTGTCTGGCCTCCCAAACCACCACCAATCCCCTCCCCACTCACATGGATGCCTCTTATATGTATATCCCCTTTTTGATAAAGGTTGACAAGAGCGCCCGCCCACGCTCACAGCCGCAAATCTAGCACCCAATCTGCTGCTGCTCTTGTCAACAGTCATTGAGGAGGCCGTGAAAATCGATTATGAAAATCGTTTGGTGAAATTTTTCACGCACGCAGCCGAAGAGCTGCCAATGGCCCGCTCAGATGCTCAGACCCTTTCGAGGCTGGCTTAAATTGTCGTTTCGCAGCTTTTTACATAAATATTTTAATAGAAATTCGTGCCTAAGCGGCTTCAACTATTTGCAGCTGGGCACCGAGAACGTGAGACCTCCACAAGATTGATGAATGATGGATGCTTTTTATGGGTCCCGGCTCGGCGCCGGCGGAGGAGCTCCTGACTTTTCGATTCACTCAGCAGCTGTGCGTGAGTGTATTGACTTATTCAAATAACTGATTCGAAATTTGATGGGCACCCTTCCAAGTAATAAAATACAAAATTTGCATATTACGCTACAAAATGGGATATTTCCATTTGCCATCATATAAAATGGGTAACTTTTCAATCCATGCAAGGCACAAGATTTCCCAAAATATTATTGAAAAGCGAATTTATGCCGAAGTAAATTCTATACAAATCTCGGACTACCAAATGGTTTGTGTCAAATATGAGGACACACACAATATTACAGAGCTATTGACAAAGACATCCATTCAGAAGATTTTCCTCGGCATTCGCGACATCTTTAAAGCCAAATCGCAGACAGCCAAAACAGCTTTGTTGTTTTCTTATTTACAATTTAAAAGCTGCATAAGTTGCTTACATTTGAAAACTTCAAGCTCATTATATGCATCTTAACAGTTGGAATTAGAAATTCCCTGTCTTGAGTCTCAGCCAAATAATTTAAGTTTTCTTCGACTAATTATTCTCTGAATAACTTATTGAATGAGCTTCAAGAATGAATCTTGAAAGTAGCTACTAATTCATGCCCCGACTGGTCCCATTGAATCGCTAATGATTTATCGGTTGAATGTCCTTTCTCCGGCTGTCCACTCTGGAGATAAACCATCAGTACTTGACAATTAGGCGTTCGCTTCGTTGGGACAGCCGCAAATGGTGAACCACAGGCGAATCGACGGGCTGAACAGATATCCAAATGAATATAAATGACTTAACGCCTTAAATGCTAATGGCTAGCAAATTTTCTTATCACACGCACGCATACAAGAGCCAACAATTTTCCAGTCACTTTTTATCTTGTTTTCGCTGCTCGTTTTGCGGCCGGCAAGAAAAGAAGAAAACTTTTAACAAGACAATTTGTTAAAAAAGAAATCAGTATGTTTGTGTGTGTGTGTTTGAGTATTTATCTACAGTAGCGGACAAGAAATTGGGACTGACAAAAAATTATATTTTGTTGTTAATTTTGTTCAAAAAAAGTATAAACAACTCTCATATTCGATTCCTTTTGCACCTGGTCCGAATGTTGTCAGCTCTTGGGAATATGTTATTCCTTCTCAGTGAACTACTCGCTCCATCCGGATTCTACTTTATTAAGCAAAACTCAGACGGAAGACTTAAGTCTAGTTGTTATAATTGACCACAAAATATAATAAATGCTTTAATATGACAAGTCAATTATACTCTGTCCTGAATGGTGACAAATGGTTGTCCACATATTTTGGCCGCCATTGTATGTTCGCAAAATTGTAAAGAATTTACGCAGAGGACTTCATAGCCGTTCCCTCGTCTGCCGCTGATAGATTAACTGTAACTGTGATGGATCATTTACTTAAATTATTAAAATTGCCAACTCAAATTTCACACACAAATGGTCGACAAGAAGCACTCGACCCAATCCAGAGCCGTTGCCCGAAAGGTGGACGCCTGCTGCCCAGATAGAATGCCCTGGCTGATGAGGGCAGGCTTGACAAGTCAAAGCTGCAAATCTGTCAGTCAACTAGGAGCATAACGAAATAATTTAACAAGCAGGGACCAAGTATTTCCCTACATAGTCAAAGGTCACACAGGTTATATCCGCTCTTTAAGCTTGCAGCTCCAAAGGTTATGTCACGAATTCGTAAGACAAAGCACGCTCAAAATATTAAAGGAAATGTCTTCTTCCTTAAAACTATTGAATTAAGTTAAGTTAGCTTAAGTGAATTAAGTTTTGAACCTATTGTACGGCAAGATATCAGCTTTTGGCCAAAAACGTATTCACAATCAAATTGCTTGCTCGTTTTGTTTTTCAACTTAATTTAAGTGGGCCGTAGTTAAGATTTCAGGTTCCAAGGTTCAAGGGTCACTTTGTGCCGCGGTGCGAAAAAGTTTTTTGTTTCTCTCAGGTACCGATTCCATGGCCATGCTTTTGCGGCTCGACCTTACTTTTTGAATAATGAGTTTTTGTATTTTTTTAACAGCAAATAAAACCGTGAAAAAAATGTTTTGACATTGTCACATTTTGCGGGCGACAAATTGAAAAATGTGCATCGCATGGCAGAGAAAAACTGAAAAAGATACTAGGTAAATGAAGCCTTTTTGGCTGGCAAACAGGACGCTTTCTTGCAGCCTGCGGGCTTCGGCCTGGCAAGTGAAGGGTTTGAAGTGAAGTCGCAAATTGATTTGGTGGCAAACGGAAAAAACCGCCGGAAACTCATCAACTTGGGGCACAACAATTTACCTGCGGCTCACCCGAATTTTCTCCGGGTTTTGTATATCAAAAGCAGAAGTCTTAAAATATTTTTGCTGGCTGCCGATTTTAACATTTACATAAATTTATTTCTTATTATTTTTTTAATATATTCGCTATACTTTAAAAATTTGAACTCAACAATTCTGCTGGGCTGGCATTCAAAATAAAAGTCTAGAAACTGTTTCTACAAGCCGCAATGTATAGATAGATTAAACTTGGAAAAAGTTCAGGAAAACTCCGACTAGTATAAAATATGCATGCGATATATTTTAAATAAACTGTAAAAGAGCAAGGTTTTGATTGATTCGCACAGATCAAAATTGTAGTCAAATCGAAAAAAGCCTAATGCAAATTACATTAATAATAAATTCAACGATATCTTAACAGCTTAGCAGAAAAAAATGTATGAAGTTAATCAATTCATGATTTGTTCGAACATTTTCGAGCTTAAACTCAAGCCATTTTCCCATACAGCCGAAAAGCTAAGCTGTTTACTTTCAATTTATGTAAGCCCAATGAAATGAGGACATCAAAAAGCCCTTTAAAGTACATAAATACGCAAACACACAATCTGGCAGCCAATTTGCTTTATAAATATTAGAAGGACAGCTCCAAGGAACTGTGAGGAGCTGTGAGGAGTTGCCGCCTTTGCTTAAATGATTAATTACAAGGATTCGGTAGAATTTTGTCATGCCATCAATTGAAGAAAAATAAGGCAAATAAACAATTTCAGCCGAACACACTTTGAGGTCTTTCACTTCCAACGAACGGACGCCCTAATCCTCAATCAATCTGTTGACCTTCAGGCTCAGGCATTGGGGTACACACAGGCCGAAGCGGGGCGTGGGGAGCTGACATTACAAGGTTCCTGCCATTAAGCTGCAATTAAAGAGCTCCAAATGAATTTATATACACATCCATAAATTAAATGAGCCCCACACACACACACACACACGCACAGGCACTCATTGCCACGGGGCTTGACCAAGTTTTACGAGTTCAGCAGACGCATTTGTAGTCTTCATTCATTTCATTTAAGTTAATTAGATTCAATAATTTTGAGGCCTAAAGCGAGCCTAACCCAAATGGCAGCAGCGTGCCCAAAATGCCTAAATAGGCAACATAAATTGAGATTTATATGGGCGCTTAGTTGGGCAGGTCTTCCAGGCCAGGTCTTCCCTTCTGCCAGCCGCATCCGAGCCAAGAAGCAATTGAAATTTGGCAATTCCTAGATTTTATGTGTGCACTAAAAATGAAATTTTAACGCGCCATAAAGGGACAAATTCATGTACTCGTAATGCTGTCTGTCTGTTTCGCTCTCACATTTTGATTTTCAATTTCCTTTTTTGTTTTATTTTTTTTTTTTATAGATTTTCAGAACGGAAATCCAGGAAGAGGCTGGTCAGAAAAAAAATTGCCCATATTAAACGCTGCGGAAATTGTTTCATCAATTTGTTAATAAAACGGCACAGCACACACGCACACTCACACACACGCACACACACACAAACCCACACATGGGGAGACAAATGTTTGACTTAATAAAATAAATTGTATAAATTGAAGTCTGTCATTTTGAGATTCCCAGGCGTAACATTCGAGCTGCCAGCGCCCCCGTCAGAGTTGAAGCTGCCGCCAGACGAGGCACATAAAACATAACAAATTGCATGAAATTTACGTGAAGCGTGTGTTTGCTCTGCAACCCCGCCACCCCCTCCCCTTAGCTTACCACCTCAACCCCAACGAATAATTGTCATGCATGGCATTCACTTGCGCATAAGAGAAAAGAGTACATCAAATTTTCTGGCTCGACTCGCTTGCCTCTGAGTAAAAGACAATCAAGCAGGCGGGCGGGCGGGCGGTCGGAAGGCAATGGGGGTTGGGGAGTATGGGCTGCGGTTGTCGAGCTGCCTGCCGCATGACAAACGTCTCGGCGACATCCTGTCAGCGAACTAACTGTAAAAGCCTAAAGCGGCATTTTAGCTGCAACACATGATTCTCGGCATGTAGAAACTCTCTCTTAATGCTGAGTTGAAGAGCGGGTGATTTGCGGTCACATAGAAATGTCTGCTTAGCTGGAGGAGTGAGTGTTAATCAACAACAATATACTAAACTTGTGAACCAATTAGCTCACACATTTTTATTCAAATAATCTATAGCTTAAATTAATTACAATTGCAAACTTTACTCTCTTCATGATGTTCTCTCCTTCTGCCTCCAACACATTAATCTCTACATGCTGTTCTCCAAGCCAATTTGGCAAGGGTCGCACGTAAAATTGTCAAGGTTCAGATACATAGTAAATAAAGACCTATTTTAAGTCCAGCATTGATTGGAATGATGAAAATTGTTCTTAACAAGCTCTTAGAGTATTGGATTCTTGGTTTTTGCCATACTTACTTAAAGGAACAAGAACAGGAAGCAGAAGAAAGAGCAACAAAAACAATGAGGGCAAAGACAAGCGGAAAGAGCAGCTGAGACGGAGGCTAAAGCAAAATGGACGCGCAGCGCTCACGTGCAGATAAAAATAACGGCAGAAAAATGAGTACAGAAACCAAAAGCAACAAAACAGTTACAACAACAATAACACAAACACAACAATAGTCGAGGCCTCCGTTTTCAGCACACACGAGCTCGCAATTTAATACCCAGATAAATATAAACACACGAAGGTGGAGAACAAAATGAGAGATGGGAAAAATAGAAGATGGCGAGTTCATCACGCACGCACATCGCTAAATTTGCTCACGCTCGCCCCTCCTCCATATATTTATATGCATGTGTGTGTGTGTGTGTGTGTATTTGTGCAGATCGAGGCGATATATTGAATGACAAGCGCGTGCTCCGACCGTGTCTCAACATCGACGCGCTTGTTGTCGTTGTTGTTGTTCTTGTCATCGTTGTTGATTACGTTGATGATGCATGTTGTAATGTTTAGGGTTATGTACATTCGTAAGTTCCCCGTACTGTCTGCCCGTCTGTCTGTCTGTCTGTCTGTCTGTCTGTCCGACCCGCTGTCTGCCTGTCGTGTCGAAACAAAGCCTAGACACTAACACGAACAGCATACAACCCATTCAACGAGCTGAGCAAATGCAATTTGTCCCAATTGTAAAACACCCCCAACTCCAAAATGCCTCTCTTGGGCCCATCAGCTTTGAGAAGTTTGACAGGTTCCTGGAGCCCGCCTGCCTGGCTGCCTGCCTGCTGGGGTTGGGGCATGACTAGAGCAGCGCGGCATGCCCCTGACAACAACGTGGCAGGCCATTTGAAACGTTATTAATATTTATACAGCTCTTCACATTTACTAGAACTGCCATCCGATTAATGGATTCGTTTAATTTAACGCGCCAGCGCGGGAAATGGAGGGGGGGGATTGCAGATAGATGGAGAGACTGACAGTTACAAATGCGCTTAAAGAGAGCTTAGATAGAATAGAAAAAGTTAAAATGCAGCTAAAGTAGGATTTCCTGATTTTCATAACATTAAGTCAGTTAACTATTTATAAGTATATTTTATAAAATCCATGTCTTTTAAATTTTCATTTATCTTAACTCTTAACAACTTTTCGGGTGCTGCCCAGATCTTTTTCAATTTACCGTCTGAATCTTCATATATATATATATTTATATACAAAGGTAATGCGGTGATCCGGCATGCATAGCTCCCTGGAATGTGCAGTTGCCCAACTTCTAAATGAAATTCAACAAAATAAGCCCTGCATATGAGAAAATTAAAAGGTAAATTGTGTATTTTAATAAAATTTTAGGCGGGCAGCTCAAGGCAGCTCATGTTGGTTAAAAAGATTAAGCTGCATTTGGAGAGCAGAGCATAGTTTTGCGACAAATAAACAATTGTTGTTTGTTTTTGGGTCTCAAAGGTATTACCATACTAAGTATTAAGAAAAAGTTTCAGAATGTGGCGTGTGAAAGAAATAATCATAAATTTTCATTAAAATTAAATTAAAAAACTTATTTTTAGACTGGCGAAGCAGCGCGTAATAAACAAGTTAAAAGTCTAACCATAATTTGGTTTTGGCCAACATGAAAGTAAACAAAGTGCTGGATAGAAGCCGAACCGAACCGAGCAGCCCGAGGACTTTATAAATTTATGCCACAACATATGTTGCTCTTGAACTTTATGAGCAGCGCCTGGCTCCGACTCGAACTGGGAAACCGCTTTTCCCGTTTACTTGTTGTTGTTTACAGTTTGTGTGCAAGTTCTTTTTCTGAGTAGCTTCCTCACTGGCTCACTGGCAAAAATGGCTAAGAAGCAGCCGCCAAGTTCTTAACTTGGCCTATGCAGCTACAGGAGCGGGAGCGGGAGCGGGAGCGGGAGCGGGAGCGGTAGCGGGAATAAGCCCAGAACAAAAAAATATATAGAGACGGCATAGTCAAAGTTTTGCTTTTACGCTCAATTACAATGCAAAAGTTTGACAGGAAAATAACCGCATGGCAAACTTGTGAGTGTTTTATAATACTTTCCAGGCTCTATAGCTCACATGCAACCCGATAATAAGTAAAATAAGTATACGCACATAAGACTGCCAACATCTGAAATTATTTCCAGCAACTGCAACTAATTATAAGTTCTCGACGGGCTAACCATAAATTTAACAACCGATATGTGCATACAGTGGTGATCGTAAGTATACGGACAGCTACGATTGACTATGATGCACACAGTAATAGGCATTGGGATAATGTCAACTTTCCAGTGGAAGTAAACAGAGTAAAAACTTTGAAAAATATGAAAATTATTCGAAAATCAAATAGTTTCTAATAGGTAACACATAATAAATCCCTGCAGCAAAATGAAAATTACTCCCTCGACCTGTCCATATATTATTGTACGCTACTGTACAATCTTCCGCCATCTTCCAATAATGCACGGCAACCCTCAAAGTATGCAGTGTTAATTTTCAACCGAACATATAACAGCAAAGCACACACACACTGACACACACACGCACAATATTTAGATGGAGTAATTTGCTAAAATTTCATAGCCAACGATTGTGCATGTTAAATAATAGCAAACAGACGGATAAATCTGGCTGTATAAATAAATCAAATTAAAGCTCAACGCCGCATAATCAGAAACGCAAATAAATATGCAAATAGAAGCAGCTGCAGAGCTGCATATGGCAACGGGCAAACATATATATTTCGATATTTGCTTTAACAAATTACTTAAAATCACGACGAATACGAAACAGAAAAAACTCTGCTTCAAATGCTTGCTTGAAACCAAACAACAATTTATTGCATTTGAATTTGTCGCCATTTTGTAGCCGGGCAAAAAAGGACGTCGGGTAAAGTCGACAAACCGTTCCATAAACAAAACGTTTCGAGCGTGATGAGCGTGCATAAAACAATTACTATAAAAATGTTTTTTATTTTTATACATATATATATACATATATAGGTATGTATGCTTTTTCGTTTTGTTTTTGTTGCGGTCGTAATAAATGAAATGAAAACAAATATCACGCCAATGCATACAAAATTCAACATACATGCAACCCAGTAAAAAAGCCGAACAAAAAACCCATGAGGAAATTTCCTGCTACGTTTTTTTCACAGGATATTTCAACTTTAAATCTGATAAATGCGCATTTCGTGCGTGGAAGTGCATTCGAGTGCTTAAGGTGTGCTCTCGTCCATACAAACATAAATACGTGCATAAATAAGTATATTGCTCTCTACATAAACGGTTATTGAGTAGTATAAATGCTTGCATACACACATACATGCATGTGTGTACACATACATGCAGACACATTGTCAAGGCCAATTGGTCAGCAGTTCTCTCTGATCCCAAGTTCGCTCAATTCTGCTATTTCTCTCTTACTTTAATTACTTCTTGTCTCGCTCACAAACATATACACTCTTTCTTTAGTCTGGCAGCATATGACAAGCGCAACTACAGGGTGTTTACAGGGTATTTTTAGGCGTATTCCAGCCAATTTATATTTCGTTTTGCTGCCAACCTTATTAAATATTTATACTAATTCTCAGCGCTTAGCAGCCTTAAAACGTAATCATAAGCTTAAACCTAATCTTTGCACCTGCTGTGTTGCCCACAAAAAAAAAAAAAGGTTCAGCCTTCAAAATGTGCACTTCGTCAAATCAAACTGTTTTTTATATTGGATATTAAACCAAAATTTTGATAAATTCAACGGGGCACAAAAAATTCAATTGTTTAAAGATTGAAAGCCAAGTCAATATAATGCCAAAATTATGCATAATAAGCGTGCACACACACACAGACAGACAGACAACGGAAAGGAGAGAGGGGGCGAACAATATGATAGAGCGAGAGGAGGCGAGTAGAAGGCTGTCTGGCAATTACCGCGTCGATTCATTATGAAATTTATCGTATTACGTTGATGAAATCATTTGAAGGTTGCCGCTGGCTGCGGTTCTGGTAATTTCCCCATTGGCTGAGCTATCGCCAGGGCCGTAACTGTGTGTGCGCCCATGTCGATGTGTGTGTGTGTGTATCTTTTGTGGCTTGGCAGCGAGAAGCATTTGCTGCTAGGCTTGTTTCATGTGGCGCACGCAACAATTGCAAGGAGCGGGAGACTTTTGGCTCCTGCTGTTCGGTCCTTTTGTAGTACGGTATATATAATTACACATGAATTTCAATATCCTGCGGCTGCCTGCTATCCCCTGCTACCGTTGTTATATTT